GTGTTCACACTGCACGATGGATCGGCGACAGGAGGTTTCACACTGCATGACTTTAAAAAAGAAAGAATCGCCGACAACTTCTGCCTGGTCCGCAAACTACGTTTCACAACCAAACAAACGCGAGAAGTGATAGGAAATAACGGAAGATCACGCGTGCGTGAGACCGGAGTTCTCGCGCGACACTGAATTTATTATTAAAAATGATAGCCTACAAATTGTCTGACTGTGCACTGATTTGTAGCGAAAAAAAAAAAAAGAAAAAAAAACACAGTTTATGCAGGAAATGGTTGGGAAGACGAGGGGAGCAAGGACTGTGTTTTGCAAAGAGAGTTGAATACAGAATAATTTTGCAAATGTCCTGCTGTTGCTGCTGGTCATGCAAATGTTTGTGCTTTGTTTCTGTTTGATATAATTGTAAATATAGGCCTATCTATTAAAATACTGATATTCTGGTCTATAACTCCTCCTCCTCCTCCCTTTATCTTGCTCTCTCATTGGCTGTCGGTCATCGCCGATGTAGTTTTCAGTCAGAACACATTCACACAGCAGGATTGTGAATCGCGACCGACAGGTCCAGATATTTAGCATGCCAAATATCTCACGGGCGTCGGCGACTTGTCGGCGATTCTCTCAGATCGCGTCTTTGCTCATTCATACTGCGTGATTGTCACTCGCGTGAACGAGCACCGATTTGCCTGTGATTTCGGGCATTTGTCGGCGATTTCTCAAAACCTGTCGGCGAGCCAAAATCGGGGCTAAAATCGTGCAGTCTGAACTCGGCATTAGACGCCATTCTGCTCATAGACAGTGCTCCAGCATATCAACAATGACCGCGCCGGTCCGCGCAGACTATGATTGACAGCTCTCACGAGCGAGGGCGGGTCTGTGTTGAAACTCCTGTGCTGACTCCTGTCAATCAACAATCGTGGGAGGGGCGTCCGTTTTATTGACGTCACAAAAACGAACGGCTCAATTTGAGGCAGGGGAAAACATATAAGGAGATTAAAACAAAAACACTGGATGGATTTTTATCATTATATGATGGTTGTGTACAGGCACTGCCAACACACATTTCAGTACAATCAACTTGTAAAAGTGCATGTACCATTATATGACCCCTTTAATACCAGGGGTAAACAAGGCAGCTGATTGTGTTAAATGAATCGTATGTGAGGAATGTGATGCCAATGAGTAGAAACCCCATACAAAGTTAAGCTTCATCTTTGAAGTAGTATGTGAGCTATGAGGTGAAACACTAACCTGTGGTTTCAGAGACTCTCGGTGGTATTTCTATGATTTCGTGTCATTGATAAATAAATCTCATCTACAGCATTTGTTCCCCAGATAGCACAAGTCTATTTGATGTTATATTTACATCTGGAAGACGTATTTTTAAGAGTGTTTGCTCATCTGCAAGACGTCTATAGGACGTCTCCTGTCAGATGTCAAATAGACGTTTAGAAGATGTCAGTTTAACATGCATTCTAAATCATTACATCTTAAAGACATCTTTTAAACGTCTATTTGACATCTGACAGGAAACGTCCTATAGACGTCTTGCAGATGAGCAAACACTCTTAAAAATACGTCTTCCAGATGTAAATATAACATCAAATAGACTTGTGCTATCTGGGTCATGATGTCATCCTCAAGCACGGGGGTCCTGAATGACTTCTCTGCAGAAATGGAAGAAATGGAAGAAGTCAGACAGTGATTAAGCTGTTGAACTCTGCAGGAGTGTATTAAAAAAAACCCAGTTTAGTGTTATTGTGTGTTACTTGCAGAGTGTGTTAGCAGCAGGGAAACAGTTATCATTAGTTACCCCTGTTATCATTATAGGGAGCAAGAATATTTCATTTGAACTTTAAAATGAAATATTGATAAAGAAAAAAGAAAGCTTTCTATAACTTAAAATATGTTGACATTATTATTTTAATTAGGTAGATGATGTTGGCCGCAGTTTTTTTCCAAGCTAGACCACTACTGAACCTGTTTCATGAGTGTATTAATATTACACTATTTATTATTATTAATTTTATTATATTAAATTATATTATATTATAATTAATTGATTAACTTTTTGTTGTTTTATTTTTAATGTTTAGGTTCAGGTATAAATAATCCCAAATGAATCACTGTTTTTCTGAGCGTTTGATTCGTCTAATATCAACCACATTTTTGTTCTTATAAAATGAACATTTTCATTTAGCTCATTTTAAATCAAACTCAATCAAGAAAGAAAGAAAGAAAGAAAGACTTTAATGCATTTTTGAGAACTTTTTAAAACAAACATTTTAAATCATTCTCAGTAATATGTATCTGCTCTGTTAACAATTATATGGGCAGTTCAAACAGGTGTAGTGTAACCCAAGTGTGAATGAGACACAATGTTGTACAGCCTCTGTATTGCATTACAGGTCTTCATTCAAACCATCTGTCTAAGATGATTCAGTTATGAGCTGCACTTGTGCTTATGGCAGTACAGGTGCCAAAAGGATGAGCCATTACTCACATTTTTATTGCAGATTATTTTGAAATTTGTATGTATTTCTATCAGTTACAATTGCATTCATCTGTGTAGGCTAAATAACAACAACAATAATAATAAATCATATTTGGCACAGTTATGTACATTTTTATTACGACAGAACAGACAGTCAAACCTCACTAGTGCGCTGTTTACAATTACTTTCGATCATATGATACTCTTAACTAAGTTACCTGCCTTGAGCCATTAGATGATTTCAGAAGATTGTTTAGTTGTCAAATAAATATAACCAACAGCACCATCTAGCGTTTTACAATAGTTTTCACTGGATGGAAAACATATGTGCAAATTATAGAGTGATCAGTGTTTCAGTAAACATCCATTATATAACATTTCTGGTCAGTTTAGAGATCAAACTGTGATTTGTTTAGGTGCTTTACAGTTTTTTAATGAAATGCTAGAATTGCAAGATATATGATTCTCATTTCCATCATAACCAAAACACCTTCTTTTTTTTATTTAGAAAAACTAATTATTCTCAAAAAAAAAAAAAAAATGCTGTGATGACAGTGACTCTTTGTTATTAAAACATTACTAACACAAACAATAGAAATAAATTTGCAAGATTATATTTTGTACCCTTAGCCTACATATACATAGTTACATACACATTTAAACTGGTAGGCCTACTGAAAATAAAATACTGCTGCATTGAAACGGTGTGATAGAGACTAAAGTTGAATGTTTTGGGTTTTTTTTCAGATTGAAAAAATGTTTTGGACCGGGAAATAAAAAAGTAAAACAAACACCTATACTGGCCTGTAGAATGTGTGATATCTCTCCAGCAGAGAGCGCAATAGCTTAAGCTATCATAATAGCAGATATACAAGTATATATATATATATTATAACAATCTATTTTTGTGACATTACTATAAGCCTATCAGATGCACATGCAAAAATGAGCCTTTTTACTTCATTATCCTGGCCCGTGGGACTACGGATGGAAATAGCCTTTGGCTAAAATCCGGCATTTTTACATGCATGTATACTCCATGTTATGTTCATTAAAATGCACTGTCCCAATCAAATACATTTAATTTAAAAAAAAATAAAAATAATTATCATTAACTTGATCTTTGCACGGTGACTGTCTGCAGGGTTTTTAATAATGACAGTAATAAAACTTTATGGCCCAGGAAGTTAAAGCCAGGCCTGTGCTCTTCTGGCACAGATGAAGTGTCATATGCCGTGGAGTCTAGAATGGCCATATGTTACTGGAAATCCACCACCCACTGCCTGACATTACAGCAACATAAAACACATAGTTTTGTTCAGATTAATGTTTAGAAACTTTACTTAAACAGTGTCTCGTTTGTTTATTTTGTCCTCTAACAATGTCTAGAAATACACTCATCACAAGAGAACGTTCACTCTGGGTTTTTTTCTTCTTTAACCATATCATTAATTCTTTGGTGCAAATGTCATTTTAAAGATTTTTAATAAAATGTGTGGCCATTTTATATTGCTAATGCATTCATAACTATCATTTATGTATCCTTAATACACCCAATTAAACAATATTTTCACACTTATTTGACAAAATGTGTATTATTTGTCCAAATTAAAGCATGATTTGGGAGGTGATGTATAAAAACAATATATTTACCTTGCTTTTTCTTTGTTTTCTCCACAAGATACATGATATCTCCACAAGAAATCTCATCTCTCCTTAGTACACTAACTAACTTTTTAAAAAACTTTATTAGTGGTTTGTGGCGGAAATGACGACATAGAGTGAGAACTTGAGGGGAAAATAGAGATAATTTTCACACAATAAATATTGAATGTAATATTTCTCGCTTTGTTTAGATCAGTATTGTAAATGTAATATTTTATCATTGTCATATTTCACGATTAGAACGCTGGGTCTAGCACAAGGGACAAACAATAGGATGTGAAAAGCATTTAAAAAGTATCAAAGATATTTAATGATAGGTCTGCATTTTAAAAAAAATAAGTTTTATAAAAAATTAATACAATTTATTATATGCTTTTATTATTATATATTAAATATAAATGTCATTCTTATATTTTTTATAAATGCCTATATAATTGTTTTATTATTATAAAATAATATTTAATATTATTAGAAAACATTTTAAAATAATAAAGAAATTACTTTGTATTGCTAGCATTTCTCAAGATTAATCGCTTGTTGTCGCTTCAGATAATACATAAATAAATAAATAAATAAATAAATGAAAAATAAACATAAAAAATAAAGGCAATTTTAATGTGACAGGATAGCACAAAGAAAAACATTGAAATCTAAGTTTAATACAAGTCATGTCTTGAGATATAAAATTGGCCGAATTTGAAAAAAATGCTCTTTCTATTCAGTATCACTTTGTATCCATTCCATACTGAGTATCATTCCATGAGTATCTATACTAGGCTAGTAGGCTCCCATACTAACAGCCGCGGACACAAGACAGACCAGTCAGACTGGTCTAGTAACCGCTTGGTGCCGCCTGTGGGAGAAACGCGGAAGAAGAGTTCATTCAAGGCGTTTGGTGATCCGCACGGACAGGACACACACGTACACGAGTTCCCCCCCGGTAAACATGCTATCGTGAAGCTTCTCCAATGCGCCCTCGCGTTTTCCTCTCATTCACAGCGGTTTCGAGTGGAGATGTCTGGACACACAGCACTGCATGGACTGATACTCTTATATTCAATTCACCCGCTCGTGCTCGCAGAGAAACCGGGTAAGTGAACAAAAACACGGCAGATGATCGGAAACAAAAGAGTCTGTTTGCTGAGGCGTCAGAGGTTACTGCTGGAGGATTTTGAGTTGTTTGCGTGCAACATGCATTTATGGTTGTAGCATATCATCGTAAGTAAACGTACAGTTGCTCCTGGGGAGTTATAATGTTTCGAACTGAGCTTCAGATCCTGTTAACTCTTGAGCGCGGTACGTTTCATTCTGAGTTCTAAACATTAAATTCCAATGGATTCAAATCTAAAACGGGATGTGTGTTTTTGCTTACAACATATGCTTTACATGCTTACAATTTATGTGTTTATGATTAGTTTCGTGTTGCATGTGTTTCTCATAGAAACTGTAGTTTCTTTTAAAGTTAAAGGTGATCTTAATTTACCATAAACTTTAGATATGGACGGTGGATAAGATTTTTGATGTCAAATGGTGTGCTGAGTCTGACTGTATAGTACATGCAACGCTGACACAACATGCTGGCGGTGCCTGTCCATAAGGACAACTTTCCCTCGAATCTCTCTCACAGCGGGACTGTGTGTGTTAGTCAAAGTGTCTCTGGGTGGTCAATGCAGCATCTGATCTGCATTGTGTAAAAACATGTATCTTTTATCTAGGATGTTAGTAGGCTACTGTATAGACTACAGAGGTCTTTTTACTGCTGGGATATTCCTTTATGACTCATTTTTAATTCAGTATCCAGCGCATTACAGAGACAATAACACTGGAGTGGAGAAACATTTGGTTATTAAAGTAACAGTTCAGCCATTGTCTATTCCCAGAACTTGTATGACTTTTTTCTGTGGAACACAAATCGAGAAATCTTAATGGTTGCACTTTTGCATACAATTGCTAAAAGTAGGGATTGAGGTTGTCAGCAATGTGAAAACATTAAAAAAAAAACATCCTTATGACTTGTGCATTGTAACTTCCAAGACTTTCGTTCATCTTCGGAACACAAATGAATATTTTGATATGAAAATAAGAAGATATTTTTACTAAAATCTGAGAGCTTTCTGTCCCTCCATAGACAGCTATGCAACTACCACTTTGAAGCTTCAAAAAGTTCATAAAGAGATTGTAAAACTAATCCATATGAATTGAGGAGTTCAGTCCAAATTTTCTGAAGAGACACGATTGCTTTATATGATGAACAGTTGAATTTAGGCTTTTATTCTCATATAAACATTGATCAGCACACACAAACGAAGTTCAACCAAACTCGCTTGACGCGCGAGAACAAACTTCATTGGTTGTCGCACGTCAAGCGAACATCCTTGAGCTTCCATTTACCGCAACTGATGTGAAAGCGATCATGTCTCTTCAGAAAATTTTGACTAAACCACTCAATTCTCATTTTGTTTTCCATTGAAGATGGGAGTGACTAAATAATGACCAAATCTTTATTTTTGAGTGAACTATTCATTTAAGTGTTTCAGTCAAGGGTGAAATACTTCAGTTCAATACTGCATGGTATCACTCACCTTGATGTGGTCCTTCTTTTTGTATTATAATTGTTTATCCAAGAGTTATTACTTTTTGGCAGTATTGCTAAGCACAGTGTTTTTGATTGTCCCCCCTTAAAGAATAATGGTTGTTTAATTGGCATTAATGGTACCATGAAGAACATTTAACATCCATGGAATCTATCCATTGCACAAAAGGTTCTTTAGAGTGGAAAAAAGTTTCATCATATTATTAAAATGTTCTTTACACTAGTAGTCATTTTAAGAACTGTTCACTAAAATGTAATTTGGGGAACCTAAAATAGTTCTTCTATGGCATCACGAAACCCCCTTTTAGAACCTTTATTTTTAAGTGTATCGCAGACTAAATTGAATATCCCACTAGTGTGAACCCATAGCTGGTGCATGTTAGGAGACAGTGGGATTGTCTGTACATGCAGAACTCTCTCTTATGTGAATATTTGTGCTCCACCCTGGGGCAGACGATTGCCAGGTGTTCCTCAACATGCTGAAAGAGCTGGTTTCAGAAGCTCCACCATGTTTTTCCCCATTGGAACGAATGCAAAAGTGAGCTACAACTGCTTTTGGTCATTTTGAATAAATATTATTTTTGACATTTACTGAAATTCTTAATAAACCCAAAATATTATTTTAATGTGTAGTCGTTGTAGCTTAGTTTGTTTGAATGGCCATGATTAACATGTGATGTCATTCCTCTACACCTGTCCTGAGGTTTCCGTCCATCAAATTAAAAAAAGCCCTACATCTGGATGGAGTTCAGACGCCACCACAAAGGCCACTGTGTGTCCGCGAGTATTTAGCACTGACGTAGTACCAGCTGAGGTCAAAGAAAGCATTTTTGGGTTAGTGTGGGCGAATGTTCCCTTAGAAAAACACTGGTGCTATTTATAGCATTAGTCCTGTTTCATTCCTTGTGTCATTTAAGAATGCCTTCAATGTCACAAAACTCTGGGGTCTCTGAGTTTGTTATATGCATACATCAGCGCCAAGTTCCTGAGTGGCTGCTGGAGACTCAGCTGTCTGGAAGGAAAGGAGGAGTTGGTGGTGCCATCACAGGTGTGAGTGCCTTTACCATGGGAGACAGTGACATAACGGAGCCATAACATATCAGCGAACAGTAGTCTTGACAATACATGCACAAATGCGCATATACATGCGCTAACCCCCCAGCGTGGGAGCTCTTCACCCTGGGATCATCCACAAGACTTGTGTCCGGCAGCTGACATTTTCTAACACCACCTTTGTCACTGATCTATGGACGCGTCACGCATGTCTTCGCCATGGAATAAAAAATAAAAAAGGTGTTGTGACTTTTTATCTCACAATTCAGACTTTTTCTCACAATTCTTAGTTTATATCTCACAATTCAGACTTTTTAAAAAATATAAACTCAGTCAGAAATGCAAGATGTAAACTGTGAATTCTGAGAAAATGTTGTTTTTAAGTTTGAAAACTTTAGTCTCCATGAGGACTAAGTGCATGGAAAAGAGCATAAAGTACAATTCTCATTTTGTTTTCCATGGAAGAAATAAAGTCACGGGTTTGGATTTGGAACTAAATGGGAGTAACTTAATGACCAAATCTTTATTTTTGAGTTAACTATTTCTTTAAAGGTACAATAATATGTAAGAATTTTGTAATAAAATATCCAAAAATCACTTGCACAGTGTGATATATTTCCTGCAGTTGTGTACTTACGATATCCCAAAAGTCTCCAAAGATTTTTTATTTCAGAGAAATTCCAATTTTAAATAAGTGGTCGTCCCGGAAAAAAATGTCGCCTGTCAATGACGCAATATCCGCGCTATCCTCGGTTTTCGTTCATACTGCCAAAGCCATGACGTAACCATGGCGACAGACGTGGAAAACTGCGTAGTGCGTAACGTTTAGCGGCACGCAGTTCTTGTTTCTTTCAAACATAGACCATGGCAAGCAGACTTTGGGACAAACAAGGAGAACTAAAATGAGGATCAATATCAGCGTGGCGTTTTTGAGGTGCCGAGAGCTCCACGTCCGCGACTAACTTGGACTTGACAGAGCTTCACGAGTCACGACTTGACAGCTTTATTATTAGACAGGTGAGCAAATGTACATAAAACAAATCAATGTTATATAACGTTAGCTCAACATGATTAGAATATGGTCAGTATGTTATTCTAATGTTGATCTAGCTTAAAGTTACTGCTAGCTTCGTATAGCAAACGAACTAACACGTAGTGTAACATTATAACTTTCAACACACATTTAAATGCCATTTAGTGTGATAGTGTAACGTTAGACCAAGTGAAGCAGCGCTGCGTAGTTTAATTCGTCTAATAAACTGACCTGTGTGAGTAATCCAGCACTTGCGAGTAGTTTGGTAGAATTAAATGTCCTTGTTCCTTTATATCCGCGGGACTCGCGTGTGATATCTGTCTCTTTAGCAATCGCGACCTGCTTCATACCACTGTAATGTTAAAAAACATGAATGTTTGCACTCATCCACAAACATTATTAGATCCATCAGCTTGACAGCAAGTCCCATCATTCAGCTCATCACTGCGTCATCAACCTACGCCTTTGTTATTGTTGGAATCTGCGCCCTCTTGTGGTGAAAAAAACCTACATATTGTGCCTTTAAGTGTTCAAGGATGAAATAAAAGCTATTGCGGCATTTGATCTCACAATTCTGACCTTTTCTTGCAATTCTTAGTTTATATCTCACAATTCATTTTTTTATAATATAAACTCAATCTGAATTACTAGATGTAAACTGAGAATTCTGAGGTAAAAAGTCTGAATTGTGAGATATAAACTAAGAATTGCAAGAAAAAGTCAGAATTGTGAGATATAATGTGAGGGAAAAAACTGAATTGTGAAATGAAAAATTCGAAATTACTTTTGGCTTTTTTGATTACGTGGCAGAAACAATCTTCCATTACTCGTATTTAGAAATCGTATTTCCTCTCTAAATGTGCTTATCGTCTTTTTCTTCTAATTACAAAACTTATAGTAGTAGATGTTTCTTCTGGTGCTTTGACTTGTCTAAGGGGTATGTGCATGTTGAAACAATGAGTTAATTAAACTTTCTGCTTGCTGATATAATATTATTTGGTTTATGTTAGGTTGACATGCATTGTCCTGTTGAGTTCATGCAATCTTTTGTTGCAACAGAATCAGACACTTATGTGCACTTGGAGTCTTACTTGCCATTACATAACTGGTTGGATTGCTGTTTGATCTTCAAGAGAGAACGGGTTTGAGGCTTGTGCCAATATAATATTGTCTTTTAAAATTTGGGAATAAGCTTTAAAAACTTGTGATTATTGGTACCAAACTGAATTGCAAAAATAATGAACATAGGAGACTTAAAAGTACTAAACATTCAAATGTTAGTCTTGTTCTTCCTGGGTCTGAATTCACCATGCTTCATTACAACAAATTCTCATATTACTTTTTACAGATGATGGCTGTGGTCATTATGTCCTGGGCCAAGAGAGTGGTGTCCTGTCCTCTAAGAACTACCCAGGAACTTACCCCAACAACTCCTGGTGTGAATGGCGGATCCGTGTACCCATCGGCCACACGATCATCCTCAAGTTTGGAGACCTGAACATGGAGAAGAAGGACTGCGAGTCAGACTATTTAAAGGTTCTAAAAGGATCATATGGGGCGGAAAATGGTAAGCTGTTTCAATCATTTATGTGATGAACATGCTGCTTACATAATGTTTTCTCAGCCATTATCTTGTGATTTCCCCAGTGGTCACTAGATCATGTGTCTGGGTCAAACAGTATATGAACCAGATATTCTCAGTGGCAACTGATGGGTTCTTGTCTTTATCTTTTGTCTTAGTGCATCAGGGTTTCCTTGTTTGATTAATGGAAAGTAGGATGGATTAAGTTGTTTCTGTTGTCTAAGTTTTGTTTGTATATTGCTTTTTGACTGCTGTATTTGAATTTAAAGGTGAAGTTTGGCACCAAACATAATGATTATTTTCAAACAGGTTTCCAGACCCTCTATTGGTTGGATAAACAGATCTAGTCCTACCCCAATCTGATCCTGTTGGTTGAGACAATATTGCTGTGTTGGGCAGAAATCCTGTAGGAAACATTTAGAAATCTAATTTAAGCCTAGATGTTACGTCTTGGCGCAATCATATTGTGATATCGTTGATCATATGCTCTTGAGTCAGTTTAAACTCATCTAGATCACATTACTGTGAGTAAACATGAGTAAAGCACTTTAAATCAGAGCATTACCATGAGTCGGCACCAGTCACACATTGATAAATTTACTGTAAAGCAAGAGGAAACCACAGAGGCCAGTGTGTCAGAGGATGTTTTAGAGATTATGGTGAAATGTTGGTACTTCTGCCTGTTTCCTTACGGATATTGTCACTTGTTATCTCCCATTTAATATCTTTCTTTTCGAATGAGCTTGCTGTTTTTGCAATTTATTGCCGTAAGTGTAATTGCAGAAGCAGTCTGATGCATTTCTTTTTGAACAGGAAATGTGCCCAGATTCTGTACTTATGCGACGGGGGTCACGCTCGCTGGGGGGAGGGGGGTGTGGTACAACCGTTTGATTGATGGACTTACTGTCCAATGATTCTGGTAGTCTTGGAAATGATTGGCTGCAGTTTTTCGAGTCCTGCCCGTTCCACAGATGATTAAATTGCTTAATTTTCATTTCAGTGGCTGTAAGTGGGTTAGGAATAGGATTTCAAGTTATTTTGAAAAAATGTACAAAAAAGAGAATCACATACCCCACCTTTAAGGTAGCAAGACAATTCATATCAGTAATTTATGAAATATTTTCCTGATTTAGGTAAATGTCTAAACGGTTGCTAAAATATGACCTTTGGTTATACCCAGGGGTTAAATTGTGCAATTTTTTTTTAATGATTGGCAGTTTTTTAATTAATTCTATTTCCTGTATTTGCCAGTCTTTTTTTGTTTGTTTGTTTGTTTGTTTTTGTTTGATCCATTCCAACATTCTGAATTCCTTTAAAGGTTAAAAATGCTTTAAAAAAAAGTTATTTACATTATGCTTCCTTCTAGTCATTGGGAGACCTTGGTAGAAGTGAGAAATTCCTCAGTAGGTGGGTTCATCAGTGATGCTCTAACTGTTCTCTCCAAAATCAATATATAACCCCAGGTTACATCTGTAACACTGTGAATGAAATTACCCACCTACTGTTTTGTCAATTATGGATGGAGAGGGAAAAGGATAATGTAGCCCTTCACTCGAAGTGAATGGGCTGTTCTCTTTTATTAGCCTATCATCTTTCAGCCCTGGACCTGAGGTCTCTTTTGGTCATCCTGCCCAGAAAAGGTTTATTGCCTTTCCTTTTGTGCACCCATAGATTATTAACTTTGGTGACATTATTTTCCTATCTACATTGAAATGTTGTTCTGATAAACCAGAGCAGTGGGTGTTTTTATTGAAGCCAGAACCATTGGGTTAATTAACTGTGTAGACAATTAACAGCATCAGAAGAAGAGCCTGGAGTACATGAATCTCCCCACACTATGGCTGGTTCCTCCCATGTCAACCCTTTTAACCACAAACGCTGTTATGGTGTCAGAGTCGAGCCTCAGCCACATTCACTGATCAAAGCGTCCTGCAGTGGAACGACTGGAATTCTTCTCAGAGCGATTCTTAAATGGTGGTTGAGAGACATGGGATGACTAAAGCTTTGTGTTGGTGCAGAGTTTGACACTTGCGTCATTCACACTTCTTAGTGTGTTGACCCTTTGGTGCGTTCGGTCATAATGTTTTATAGATTAAAGTGTTTTGATTTCCATCAGAGCTTATCAGAAACTCATCTGTGTAGGACGTGTCATCCTTCAGTCAGCAGACATGTCGTACATTTTCTAAAAAAAAACACCATTTCTTGGTTTTATATAGACTTCTACACCTTTCTTTTATGGAGACTAGAGACTGTTGATTGAGAAGACATTCAGAGTTAGCTTCAGAACCGTGCCTGATTATTTATTTTCACCTTTTTGATAAAGTTTGCTTTAAAACAATTTTTTTATTTAAATTTTTTTTATTGATATTTGACGGTTAAATTTGTGCAAGAATCAAAGTATGTATTCATTTATTTATTTATATGAATTTTTTTAAGTTGTCGGCCAACTGGCTGTTTTTTTACTCTTCTTACAATATTTTTTACAAGTTGACTGGTGTTAAGTTTGGTCTGATTTGTACCTCACTGCTAATACCTCAGTATGATTCTAATTCCTAATCTTTCATTAATTAATAAATACATTTCCTTCCATTTCACCTAGTGTACTGGGAGTACTGCGGGGGTCCGATGCCCAAGCCTACGCAGATTCACACAGACTCCAGCGAACTGACTGTCCGCTTTCGTAGCAGCCAGCACATCTCTGGAAGAGGATTCCTGCTGTCATACTCCACAGAAAACCACAAAGGTATCTTTAATTTAAAAGGAAACGTGTGCCTTCCTAACACAACTTTGTACATGTTTAGCTTCAGCTCTCAGGAATCCAATATTTTTCTTGTCTCTTGGCCGACCCCCATGTTAACCACAGTGCAGTGGACCCATGCCGTGGCTTGCCCCCTTCCCTCCTCTGGATGCTTACAGATCCTTTACGGATGTTTCTTTAAAAGACAAGTTTGAACAATATTAAAAAAGCAATATTAAAAGTTGGTCCAAAAATGAAAGTTCTGTCACAGTGCATATCCTGCAATGAAGCCCGCAAATGTCCTTGTAATTCGCTTCAACCTTTCCGAACTTTATGAAAGATTATTTTATGGAAGGTTCGAGTGGTGGTGTGTGTGTATAAGGAATTGGAAGCAAGCAGAATACGGGTGTTTGTAAAGAACACTCAACATCATTGCGCATCTGGTTAAAAACTAAGCTCAGAATTGTTTTTTCTCCCACCCCTACACGCCAACACCAATTTGTACTCTACAGGTCCTTCTCAAAAAATTAGCATATTGTGATAAAGGTCATTATTTTCCATAATGTAATGATAAAAATTTAACTTTCATATATTTTAGATTCAATGCACACCAACTGAAATATTTCAGGTCTTTTATTGTTTTAATACTGATGATTTTGGCATACAGCTCATGAAAACCCAAAATTCCTGTCTAAAAAAATTAGCATATTTCATCCGATCAATAAAATAAGTGTTTTTAATACAATAAAAAAAGTCAACCTTCAAATAATTATGTTCAGTTATGCACTCAATACTTGGTCGGGAATCCTTTTTGCAGAAATGACTGCTTCAATGCGGTGTGGCATGGAGGCAATCAGCCTGTGGCACTGCTGAGGTGTTATGGAGGCCCAGGATGCTTCGATAGCGGCCTTAAGCTCATCCAGAGTGTTGGGTCTTGCGTCTCTCAACTTTCTCTTCACAATGTCCACAGATTCTCTATGGGGTTCAGGTCAGGAGAGCTGGCAGGCCAATTGAGCACAGTAAAACCATGGTTAGTAAACCATTTACCAGTGGTTTTGGCACTGTGAGCAGGTGCCAGGTCGTGCTGAAAAATGAAATCTGCATCTCCATAAAGCTTTTCAGCAGATGGAAGCATAAAGTGCTCCAAAATCTCCTGATAGCTAGCTGCATTGACCCTGCCCTTGATAAAACACTGTCCACCAACACCAGCAGCTGACATGGCACCCCAGACCATCACTGACTGTGGGTACTTGACACTGGACTTCAGGCATTTTGGAATTTCCATTTGCATGCTTGTTTGTTTTCCTCGTGTCTCTCTCTCTCTCTCTCTCTCTCTCTCTCTCTCTCTCTCTCTCTCTCTCTCTCTCTCTCTCTCTCTCTCTCTCTCTCTCTCTCTCTCTCTCTCTCTCTCTCTCTCTCTCTCTCTTCTCTCTCTCTCTCTCTCTCTTTCTCTCTCTCTCTCTCTCTCTCTCTCTCTCTCTCTCTCTCTCTCTCTCTCTCTCTCTCTCTCTCTCTCTCTCTCTCTCTCTCTCTCTCTCTCTCTCTCTCTCTCTCTCTCTCTCTCTCTCTCTCTCTCTCTCTCTCTCTCTCTCTCTCTCTCTCTCTCTCTCTCTCTCTCTCTCTACCATAGAGACTAGATGACAACTCTCGGTTCCTTAGCATGAACTAGAGCTTAGATTCTCTGCCCGAACTTGACCCGACCCGGCCCGACACTATCCTCGGGCCGGGCCCTTGATCTAGAGACGTGCACTCCAACGCAATAGAGTGCGACGCGGGACTAGATTTGATGGCCGGGCCCGGGCGGTAATGCACTCACTCTGTGTGTGCGGGCTTCGGGAGAATAAAACGATTCGCGGGACTCCCGCAAACTAGAAATATCTATGAATAAAACATATAAAAAAGAATAGATTTTTATTCATTTGTTGCAGAAAAGCAACAAGAACAACTAAAACAAAACGATTTACAGGCCAGAGTTTATATTCATAACATGTTTGCAGCGATGAGCGATGTAGCCAATCACAGACATATGTGTTGACTTCTTGAACGCAATGGCCAATCAGAAGCATTTAAGATAGACTCCCCTCACCGCTCAAAACTGACTTTTTGTTCAGTGCTGAATTCTGTATGCTGGCAAATCCTCGAATTATAACAAACAAAGTGTGGATATTATGAAAGATTCATTGTGCAGTCAGCTTCATTGATAATCATTTAGGGTAGGGTCAGGTTTTGTTTACATCCATTTTATTTATTGTTTTTGGTATTTATTCAAGTGCATTTTTTGTTAGCAGAGAGATTGTTTTTGGTTGTTTTGTTCATTTATTGTGGATATTTAAAATGTTTTCCATTTTCAGTGTTAAATAGTCTTTAGAAATAAAAGTTTATTGATCTTTGAAAAGGTGTACCTGCATTATTATGCCATTATCATTATTTTAGATGTAAATGGTCTCGGAACGACAATATTATCGTTTATCGCAATAATTTCTTGGACAATTTATCGTCCAGCAAAATTTGTTATCGTGACAGGCCTAGTCCAGTGCTGCTTCTCTGTAGCCCAGGTCAGGCACTTCTGCCGCTGTTTCTGGTTCAAAAGTGGCTTGACCTGGGGAATGCGGCACCTGTAGCCCATTTCCTGCACACGCCTGTGCACGGTGGCTCTGGATGTTTCTACTCCAGACTCAGTCCACTGCTTCCGCAGGTCCCTCAAGGTCTGGAATCGGTCCTTCTCCACAATCTTCCTCAGGGTCCGGTCACCTCTTCTCGTTGTGCAGCGTTTTTTGCCACACTTTTTCCTTCCCACAGACTTCCCACTGAGGTGCCTTGATACAGCACTCTGGGAACAGCCTATTTGTTCAGAAATTTCTTTCTGTCTTACCCTCTTGCTTGAGGGTGTCAATGATGGCCTTCTGGACAGCAGTCAGGTCGGTAGCCTGACCCATGATTGCGGTTTTGAGTAATGAAACAGGCTGGGAGTTTTTAAAAGCCTCAGGAATCTTTTGCAGGTGTTTAGAGTTAATTAGTTGATTCAGATGCTTAGGTTAATAGCTCGTTTAGAGACCCTTTTCATGATATGCTAATTTTTTGAGACAGGAATTTTGGGTCTTCATGAGCTGTATGCCAAAATCATCAGTATTAAAACAATAAAAGACCTGAAATATTTCAGTTGGTGTGCAATGAATCTAAAATATATGAAAGTTTAATTTTTATCATTACATTATGGAAAATAATGAACTTTATCCCAATATGCTAATTTATTGAGAAGGACCTGTAATTTGGCACTTGGTGAGGCCTAAATTTAACACAGACACATGCACACATATAAATATAAATTCAGCCTTGGTATATAAAATGTGTTCATTTTTAGAGCTTGACAGTCTGGGGTAATAGTCTGTGACTTTGTCATGTGAGCATGAGTGAGGTTTATATCTAAGTATGTATATGTTTCCATCCCAGACATGGTGCAGGAAGTAGGTCTGTCATCCTGTTGTGATGCTTATGTCCTGTTGTTCTTGTTTTTGTTGAGTCGGAGGGCCTGTTTCCTTTGTGGAGACTTATCATCTGCTCCATTTTTACCCTCATTGTGTGTCCTCCTCTGCTTTCCTCCTCAGAGCTGCTGACATGCTTGGACAGAGGCAGTCATTTCCCAGCATCACAGTACAGGTGAGAGTGAGTGTGTGTTGGGATATAGACGCCTTAAAAAGTTAAACTTACACAAGTTGCCCGATATAGCTCTATTTGTGTATATATATATATATATATATATACATATACAATCACCTAAAAGATTCTTAGGAACACCATACTAATACTGTGTTTGACCCACTTTCGCCTTCAGAACTGCCTTAATTCTACGTGGCATTGATTCAACAAGGTGCTGAAAGCATTCTTTAGAAATGTTGGCCCATATTGATAGGATAGCATCTTGCAGTTGATGGAGATTTGTGGGATGCACATCCAGGGCACGAAGCTCCCGTTCCACCACATCCCAAAGATGCTCTATTGGGTTGAGATCTGGTGACTGTGGGGGCTATTTTAGTACAGTGAACTCATTGGCATGTTCAAGAAACCAATTTGAAATGATTCGAGCTTTGTGACATGGTGCATTATCCTGCTGGAAGTAGCCATCAGAGGATGGGTACATGGTGGCCATAAAGGGATGGACATGGTCAGAAACAATGCTCAGGTAGGCCGTGGCATTTAAACGATGCCCAATTGGCACTAAGGGGCCTAAAGTGTGCCAAGAAAACATCCCCCACACCATTACACCATCACCACCACCAGCCTGCACAGTGGTAAGAAGGCATGATGGATCCATGTTTGTAGTGGAGATGAGTGGTACCCGGTGGGGTCTTCTGCTGTTGTAGCCCATCCGCCTCAAGGTTGTGCGTGTTGTGGCTTCACAAATGCTTTGCTGCATACCTCGGTTGTAACGAGTGCTTATTTCAGTCAAAGTTGCTCTTCTATCAGCTTGAATCAGTCGGCCTATTCTCCTCTGACCTCTAGCATCAACAAGGCATTTTAGCCCACAGGACTGCCGCATACTGGATGTTTTTCCCTTTTCACACCATTCTTTGTAAACCCTAGAAATGGTTGTGTGTGAAAATCCCAGTAACTGAGAAGATTGTGAAATACTCAGACCGGCCCGTCTGGCACCAACAACCATGCCACGCTCAAAATAGCTTAAATCACCTTTCTTTCCCATTCTGACATTCAGTTTGGAGTTCAGGAGATTGTCTTGACCAGGACCACACCCCTAAATGCATTGAAGCAACTGCCATGTGATTGGTTGATTAGATAATTGCATTAATGAGAAATAGAACAGGTGTTCCTAATAATCCTTTAGGTGAGTGTATATACACATACATATATACACATACATATATAAACACATACATACACTCACCGGCCACTTTATTAGGTACACCTGTCCAACTGCTCGTTAACACTTAATTTCTAAGCAGCCAATCACATGGCGGCAACTCAGTGCATTTAGGCATGTAGACATGGTCAAGACAATCTCCTGCAGTTCAAACCGAGCATCAGTATGGGGAAGAAAGGTGATTTGAGTGACTTTGAACGTGGCATGATTGTTGGTGCCAGAAGGGCTGTGCTGAGTATTTCAGAAACTGCTAATCTACTGGGATTTTCACGCACAACCATCTCTAGGGTTTACAGAGAATGGTCCGAAAAAGAAAAAACATCCAGTGAGCGGCAGTTCTGTGGGCGGAAATGCCTTGTTGATGCCAGAGGTCAGAGGAGAATGGCCAGACTGGTTCGAGCTGATAGAAGGGCAACAGTGACTGAAATAACCACTCGTTACAACCGAGGTATGCAGCAAAGCATTTGTGAAGCCACAACACGCACAACCTTGAGGCGGATGGGCTACAACAGCAGAAGACTCCACCGGGTACCACTCATCTCCACTACAAATAGGAAAAAGAGGCTACAATTTGCAAGAGCTCACCAAAATTGAACAGTTGAAGACTGGAAAAATGTTGCCTGGTCTGATGAGTCTCGATTTCTGTTGAGACATTCAGATGTTAGAGTCAGAATTTGGCGTAAACAGAATGAGAACATGGAACCATCATGCCTTGTTACCACTGTGCAGGCTGGTGGTGGTGGTGTAATGGTGTGGGGGATGTTTTCCTGGCACACTTTAGGCCCCTTAGTGCCAATTGGGCATCGTTTAAATGCCACGGCCTACCTGAGCATTGTTTCTGACCATGTCCATCCCTTTATGGCCACCATGTACCCATCCTCTGATGGCTACTTCCACCATGTCACAAAGCTCTAATCATTTCAAATTGGTTTCTTGAACATGACAATGAGTTCACTGTACTAAAATGGCCTCCACAGTCACCAGATCTCAACCCAATAGAGCATCTTTGGGATGTGGTGGAACGGGAGATTCGCATCATGGATGTGCAGCCGACAAATCTGCGGCAACTGTGTGATGCCATCATGTCAATATGGACCAAACTCCCTGAGGAATGCTTCCAGCACCTTGTTGAATCTATGCCACGAAGAATTGAGGCAGTTCTGAAGGCAAAAGGGGGTCCAACCCGTTACTAGCATGGGGTACCTAATAAAGTGGCCGGTGAGTGTATATAATATATATATATATATTAGTATATAAAATTATTATTTTTATTAATGTACAAATACAATGTCGTAAAAAAGAATCCAGGCATAAATTTCAACTGATTCACAGAAATGTATCGAATGACTCGTAAGGTGAAGAAGGAATGTGAAATAAATAAAATGACACACTCTTTTGGTAAATAAAAATGAAAATGGCATTTAAATAGTCTGAAAAGCATTGTGAATATACACTCACCGGCCACTTTATTAGGTACCCCATGCTAGTAACGGGTTGGACCCCCTTTTGCCTTCAGAACTGCCTCAATTCTTCGTGGCATAGATTCAACAAGGTGCTGGAAGCATTCCTCAGGGAGTTTGGTCCATATTGACATGATGGCATCACACAGTTGCCGCAGATTTGTCGGCTGCACATCCATGATGCGAATCTCCCGTTCCACCACATCCCAAAGATGCTCTATTGGGTTGAGATCTGGTGACTATGGAGGCCATTTTAGTACAGTGAACTCATTGTCATGTTCAAGAAACCAATTTGAAATGATTAGAGCTTTGTGACATGGTGGAAGTAGCCATCAGAGGATGGGTACATGGTGGCCATAAAGGGATGGACATGGTCAGAAACAATGCTCAGGTAGGCCGTGGCATTTAAACGATGCCCAATTGGCACTAAGGGGCCTAAAGTGTGCCAGGAAAACATCCCCCACACCATTACACCACCACCACCAGCCTGCACAGTGGTAACAAGGCATGATGGTTCCATGTTCTCATTCTGTTTACGCCAAATTCTGACTCTAACATCTGAATGTCTCAACAGAAATCGAGACTCATCAGACCAGGCAACATTTTTCCAGTCTTCAACTGTTCAATTTTGGTGAGCTCTTGCAAATTGTAGCCTCTTTTTCCTATTTGTAGTGGAGATGAGTGGTACCCGGTGGAGTCTTCTGCTGTTGTAGCCCATCCGCCTCAAGGTTGTGCGTGTTGTGGCTTCACAAATGCTTTGCTGCATACCTCGGTTGTAACGAGTGGTTATTTCAGTCACTGTTGCCCTTCTATCAGCTCGAACCAGTCTGGCCATTCTCCTCTGACCTCTGGCATCAACAAGGCATTTCCGCCCACAGAACTGCCGCTCACTGGATGTTTTTTCTTTTTCGGACCATTCTCTGTAAACCCTAGAGATGGTTGTGCGTGAAAATCCCAGTAGATTAGCAGTTTCTGAAATACTCAGACCAGCCCTTCTGGCACCAACAATCATGCCACGTTCAAAGTCACTCAAATCACCTTTCTTCCCCATACTGATGCTCGGTTTGAACTGCAGGAGATTGTCTTGACCATGTCTACATGCCTAAATGCACTGAGTTGCCGCCATGTGATTGGCTGCTTAGAAATTAAGTGTTAACGAGCAGTTGGACAGGTGTACCTAATAAAGTGGCCGGTGAGTGTATAGTGAATATTTCGTTTATATTGTCCAGACATATCTGAAACTATTCCTTTGAAATATATCCAAGCCACAAGACATTACAAAATCCAAAATGAACCCTGGGCAGTAGTCACAGTTTTCCAGACTGTATCTCATTGCATTAGTGCTTATAATTTTAGTTCCTCACTCAGCTATTATCAACACACTATCCTTTTGCTTTATCTATAGCCGTCAGCTATAATTAACTGACATGCTGTAAGCAGATATTTGTCTTTGTTCTCACCCTGTGTAGGAAGTACTGTCCGGCCGGATGTGCAGCGGTGACGGGAGACGTGTCTGGGGACATTTCCCTGGGCTACAGACATGTGAGTAGCGTCTCATTGTTTTCCTCAGGTGTGGGTGGCATGCTGCAGCTCATTTCGCATCCGCAGAAGAGCATTAGCCAAGCTGCGGGGTTATTTACAAGGCCGACTTGCATCCAAGCAGATGCTCTGCGGGGTGCTTCCCAAACAGGTTTCAGATGCAACAACTCAGCCAAGAAAAGCGGCTGCTCTAAGCAGATTTTCCCACAGGTGCTCAGGCCTCTAGGGCCTTCACAGGGAATGTTAAGCGGGCCGGCAGTCGGGGGTGGAATGCACTAATGGCTCGTCCCATTGTCTGTCAGGCATTTGTTGTGACAGGACTTGTGTGTATGAATGTGTGGACACCCCAAGGATACGCAGTGACGGGTCATTTGTGCTGGCTCCATTGTTCTCCCTGGTCACTTAGTGGGCAGTGAACTCTGAATGAAAGGCGTTTATGTAATTGTTCATACCTCTCCAGCGAATCGGGGTCAGAGCATTGGGTTACTTGAGGGACTGGCCGAACAGCAACGGATAGTTTGATGTGGAATGAATCATGTGCTTGGGCTTTGAGCTATAATTCAAGATGTTAAGGGCTTTTCTGAAGGATTTGCATTGTGGTAAAATCTCTTCCTGTTTGTGAAAGCTAAGCTGGTCGAGCTTTATGTGTCACTGCAAGTTCTGGTTGCGTTGAATTTGTGAGGGTAATTAAAAAAAGGCCTTTTCATTTAAACCGAATGTTTGTTGCATGTGCGTAGCTTAACCTCTTAAAAACCAAAAGTAGAACAAACCTTGCTGATCATTGTGAGAAGGGAAACTGTTGTGTTGCAGTAGCAAAAATACTGTCAGGTACAAAAGTCTGAGACCTCAAGTGAAAATGCTTTTATTTGGCAATTTTCTAATTTGATACAGGTTTTTATTTTATTTGAATATGACTAGTGGTTTGAGAATGTTCCAAAGAGTTCTGGACCCCAACAATCATGTAAAAATAAGGAAAAAATATGAACAATCAAGTTATGATCTAAGAAATACATTTTTGATATATACTTATAGTTTGTAGTAATTGAAAGGTTTAATACTAAAAACAATAAAAAAGTTTTTTTGAAAGAAATTCATTTTATTCAGCAAGGACACATTAAATTAATCAAAAGTGACAGTAAAGACTTATATTGTTTTGTTAAAATATTATATATCAAGTAAATGCGGTTCTTTTGAACTTTCTACTCATCAAAGAATCCTGAAAAAATGCATCACGGTTTCCATAAAAATATTAAGCAACTATTTTTAACATTGAGCAGCAAATCAGCATATTAGAATGATTTCTGAAGGATCATGTGACACTGGAGACTGGAGTAATGATGCTAAAAAGTCAGCTTTGCCATCACAGGAATAAATTACATTTTAAAGTATATTAAAATGGAAATAATTTATAAAAAAATATTTTAAAATGTAAATTTCACAATACTACTGTTTTTACTGTATTTGTGATATACACTGCCATTTTAAAAGTTTGGGATCTGTAAGATTTTAATGTTTTTTTTAAAGCTGCAGTCCGTAGCTTTTTTAAGTAAAAAATAATCCAAAATAATTATATTAAAAAAACTTATTCTGCCAGTGGTCAAAACTATCTGCTTGCCATAGCTAGATTCAAAACGGTTAGCTTGTAATAATGATTTTAATTCCAGTGGTACTGGTGGGTTTCCGCGGGAAATTCGAGCATGTCTTTGCGTCATGACGTCACACCCGTACACATAAAGAAGGAGTTTCGGCTAGCCGGCTATACTGCGCGTGACGAGATGTTTAGATGTATAGGCTTTTCTCGCAGCACTTTACATGATTAAACTTATGGCATCCAGAAAGATCCAAACAACAATCATCAGTGTCAACTGGAGATTCAGCAGTTATAAAACCCAAAAGACTTCGTACTTCGGATTTAAGGTGGCTAGAGAAAGAGAAAGAAACCGTCTCATGCGAACACAAGGATTTAAACATCGGCGGGGCTTTTGAAAAGTGCGTGAACTCCGTGTTTTGAAGGGGTTCAAAACGGAAGAAGAGACGGCTTTTTTCTGCTGAACAAGTAGGTTAAGACATTTCAATAGTTCAATCGTGTAACAGTACGTTTTCTTAATTCACACAGTTATGGAGTTTCCTTTGTTGTGCCTTTCTTGTTTTGCTATTATGGAGAATATGAATTCTGAACTACACAGGTAACCATAAAACACATTAAATTTAACATTAGTCACGCAATGCTGATGTGATGTTGTTAACATGAATTTGAGAACAAAGTAGGCTATGATTTGCACGGTTGCTGTAAATCGCGTTGATTAAATCTAACGAAGCTTATCATGTCGAATGCTTTTTCCCCCTTAGTTGGTCAGAACAAAAATGGATGTTACTTACTTGTTCAGAAAACATTTTCTTATGAAAATTCTTATGTTGGTCAAACTTTCAAAAAGTGAATCTGTGATATGACAGTATCCACACAGCGCGGTGACTGACAGCAGCACTCGCCTTAAAGCACTGTGTTCATCCGCGCTGTTTCATGCCGATTTACAACCCACGTAAAGATGATAATTCCGCGAATCACTGCAGTTACAGATTTCGAACAGAGAGATGGCGACAAAGAGGAAAAGCTACGGACTGCAGCTTTAACACCAAGGCTGCATTTATTTGATTTAAAAATACCAAAAAAAACTGTAATATTGTGAAATATTACAATTTAAAAGAACCATTTTCTGTTTTAATATATTTTAAAATGTCATTTATTCATGTAATGCAAAGCTGAATTTTCAGAATTCAATTTATCAAAAGTTTCAGTAAATACATTTATAATGTTACAAACGATGCTATTTAAAATAAATAAAATAGAAATTTCTATTAAAATATCAAAATATTTTGTCCACAACTGTTTTCAACATTGATAATAATAATGAATGTTTTTTGACAATCAAATCAGCATATTAGAATGATTTCTGAAGGATCATGTGATACTGAAGACTGGAGTAATGATGCTGAAAATACAGCTTTGCATCACAGAAATAAATTATATTTTAAATATATTTAAATAGAAAATGGTTATTTTAAATTGTCATAATATTTAACAATATTACTGTTTGTATTCTTAATCAAATAAATGCATCCTTGATGAGCATTTAAAAACATAAAAAATCTTACCGATCCCAAAAATGTGTACGTGTGTGTTGTGTGTGTGTATATATATATATATATATATATATATATATATATATATATATAAAAATACAAATTAGGGAGTAAATAGAACAGGAATAGACTAAAAGATGTAAAACACAAAAGAAACCACAAAATGCACATTCTGGTTGTGGGAAAAGTCCAGAGTATCAGAGCGTGACTATCTCTCTGTATTGTATTTTACTTATGATACATTTCCACAGAATAAAGTGATGGTAGGAGGAACGCTCTCTGCTTTAAGTTGTCCTAACCCCTATCACGGATCACAGATTTTCAAGAAAGACAACAGACACACGGCTGCAGGCTCAATACTCACACAACAGGGTCTTAAACGACAATGGAAGACAAGGGCACGCATTTCCACCCTGCTGCCATCTGCTTTGATATGCGAGTGTGAAGGGCTTTAGAAAGAGCCAGAGCGATTGATTACTTCACATTGGCTTTTGTGTAGATTGGGTGGAGCAGTGGACTCTGGGATTACAGGCAGATAATGCCACCACGGTGAGGGTGTGGATCTGCCCACCAAAGCCATTCAGCAGTCACTTCAACACACACACATTTATTCATTATTTTGCCACCTTAATCTCAGTCCTAGTTCGTCAATACTTTGTAAGACTGAATGAATCATCTGAATGAAATCTGTTTGCACAGATAGTGCCACCCTCTACATGCAAATGAGTGAAACTGACATCTCTTCCTGTTAGTAAAGAAATTGTAGTTTAAGGTAGAAAAGTTTACATTTTAATAATATTTCACAATATAACTGTTTTACTGTTATTTTTTATTAAACAATTGCAGCCTTGCTGAGATTTCTTTCAAAAACAATACAAAAAAGTTACGACCCCAAACTTTTTAATGGTAGTGTGTGAGTTTGTTGTCAGCAGGAAGTTTCATTGATTGTTGTGTAAAAACCGGAAGGCTTCGTGGCTTCATGCCGTGGCTCGTCCTGCAGTGAGGAGATTTGACTCAAGCTCATGTTCTCTCGATGAATTAGTCCATATACAAAGGTCTTTCAAAGGACGGTTAAGAATGAGGACTTTGTATTTGCATAAAGAAGCTACATATGAATGACAGCACCGTACAGTCAGTTAATAAACAAATAAGCATGCAAATCAACGAATAAAACGTGCGCTTGCTCAGTTGCTAAGAGCCGTGTGTAGTTTGGATCATATGCGTATGACTATGAAGAATTTCCGGGTCCAATTTGAGCTTCGGATGTTTAAATATTTTGACTTTTGTGGCTAGACTATTAGTCTCAGACGTCATGCCCACGGACCGTTGGCTGATGCATATGGCACACTTAACTGATTGGTTGAATACTACAGGATGTCCGGGAGACATTTGTGTCGTGTTCTTTAACGGTCCACCTGGAAACAAAGATGCCGTGACTCCGAACCCCCAAATGAAAGAAGCAAGCCAGATGTCATTATAGGGTTATTATAGGGCAGTGGTCTCAAACTCGCGGCCCGCGGGCCATTTGCGGCCCGCGGGGTGATATTTTGTGGCCCCCTACTTGACATTAAAGTTTAATGTTAGTGCGGCCCGTCGTTGCGTGTACCGCGTTTTAAAAATATATATATATTTTTTATCCCTTATGGGCTACCATAGATAGTCTCATGACAGCTTACGGTGGGTTTGTTGTCAATAGTTGTCATAGATAGACAATAGCGAAGTACAAACTTACTGCGCCTGGAAAAAATGAGCGCGTCGCTTATGAGCGCGCTTGGCGCGTGCCTACATTTGAAATAACGAACTTGAGCAAGCAAAATATGTGAGCGCGATATGTGAACATGCCACGAGCTACTGGTAGCTCGCGAGCGACGTGTTGGAGACCCCTGCTCTAAAACAATGTGAGAATAATCATTTTGAGCTTGTAATATGTGTCCAGCAGGTTGATAAGAAGGTTTGCTTTGATTTGTGCAAAGTCAGTAATTTGCCTGAGACACTATACATGTGTAGAAATAATTAAATAAGGCTGAATTCACATTTAGCGCCCAAAAACGCGTAGAAAACGCTAGGTGCGCCGCGTTCTCCTTTTTCCAAAGCGCTAGGGCGGTTGCGCTCCGTAGGCGTCTGTCGTTGCTAAGCTACGGTGCGCTTGCGGCATTCTGAAAAGTTGAGATGTTTTTTATCTCGATGCGGCGCGCACGCGCTTGGAAAAAACGAGCGCGTCGCACCACGACCGCGTCGCTTCCATTATGAGCGCGCATACCGCGCACCTACATTTGAAATAACGAACTTGAGCGCGCAAAAGACGCGATATGTGAACAGGCCCTAAGACGGGCAGACATGACTGCAAATATTTGCATTTCAAAAGCAATAATCGTTTTTCTAAGTATAATAAAAGGAAATGTGCCTTCCAAAAAAACATTCAATATCATTAATGTGTTGTATAAAGAAAATAAAAAGGACGTAAGCAAATATAAGTATCACAAATATGTGTTATAAGGAAAAGAAAAAGAATGTTTGTAAAATGAAGTATCACAAAGATTTTGTGTATAAGGAAAATGAACTTCAACTGTCAGAAGGACAGCTCTTGAAGATTGGATCAGTTGTGCTCCTTTTTTGGTATACTTGAATACTATTTTTTGTGGAATACTTGATGCGGCCCAGCCTGACCCAGACTCTACCTCCAGCGGCCCCCAGTTAAGTTGAGTTTGAGACCCCTGTTATAGGGTCATCAACTTTACATTGTCACGCCCTTAAACATGACGCTTTACATGTCAGTCAGATGGCCTCTGGGTGGTCCTTGGCCAATGAAAGATGCGATGGAGTCCAGACCTTCGGCCATCAGTCTGAAGGTCTGGCTACGCAAGACTACTAGACCATATGCAACTACCCGGCGACCGGATATAATGTAGAGCACTGAAATGTTCACTCCCTAATAAGTCACACAATGTACCATGAAAACCAAGGAGCATCGATGCTCACCATGTTCCCTTTACGAAAGTTCTGAAGCTTGAAACAAAAATCACATGAGCCAACTCTCAATGTGTAGTGAGTCACTGTCCTTACCAGTGCCCAAATTAGTGTGCACGAGATACTGGTTCACAACCTAGGGAGCTGAATGAGATGCACCTGTAGAGACTTGTGGTGGGGCTTTTTTTTTTTTACTTTGCTTGGGTGTTCTGTGTGGTTTCTTACTAGCCAATCACATAGCAATACATTAGACCCCCAAGAGCACTGCAGCATTGCGGTAGTGAGTTTTGCATGGGACAGCACAACTTTTACGTGTCATATATCAAAGGTAGAGACTGCAGCAGTTAGATAGGGCTGTATTTATGGCCCTGACTGGAGGAGGCATGTTCAGGTTAATGAAGCATCTCAGTCTGAATGCAGAGCAGCTGTTTCTGCTGATAACTCACAATACGTCTTTTGTAACCTCATCACGGTAATGATTTGCAAGTGGCTAATGGGCTCGGTGTAGAGCATCTAACCACCTTAGAGACTGCACTCTCTTCTCAGTCTTTCTGCCATAATCTGTCATTTGACTCAAGCTTTTTTAAGTGGCTTTATTTTTGTTATTCATTTTCTCTTAATCTGTGGGTTGAAATAATAGATGATAGCAGTGAATTCAAAACAAAAACGCATTTGAACATTGGTGCAACTGTGTGGTTAATGTGTTGTGTTTGTGTTATTAATATTAAAATTAGTTTAAATTAATATAATCAATGATCGTTTCCGAAAAACATCTTGGCATATTGACACTTTCTCAACCCTAAATGTTGCAAAAATCTGCTTAATTTTGTTCTTAAATGGAATACTTGATGTCCTTTGTCATATTACAGATAAGCAAGTGAAAAATTCCAGATATACATATTCCAAAATGTCTGCAATGATTAGACCAAATGCACGTACTGTCAGGGTCAAAGCTTAATGTTACAGTGTTAAAAGATCCTTTATCACGCTCTGGCTGTTACCTGGCTTAGCCTGTTAAATAAAAGGGACTTTAGAAAGGTCATGCGGCATTTACTGTGACAAAGCGCTAGAATTAGCGGCAGTAGCTGAAGAATGCTAAGCATTTCCACTGGCTGCTACAATTACTGTAATTGCTGCCTCAGGATGAAATTATAAAGCCCACCTCAGTCAGAAATTTTAAATTAATCTATGTTGTGACTAAAAACATGCATGCTTAATGTTCAATGGCGGCCTGTCTCAATAATTATGAAATGCCAGAGCAAATTGAATTGAAATGCCTGTGCTAGTAGTGTTCATAATGGTGTTTTATGGTACTGTAGCTCAGACTGTTCTCACAACATCAATGCAGGATTAATCTAGTCAACGAAATTATTGGGAAATATGTATATATATGTGTTTTATGGATGCACAAAGACAGATAGAAGTTTCATATATAATTCAGATTCAGATTAAAATATATATGTATATATAAGTAATATCACACAGATGATTTCTGAATCATTCTGGGGTGCGTTTCCCGTACAACGACATAATTCGCTGCTTAACTGCCATAGTACGATGCATCGTTGAAGAAATCAACTAGCTAGTCACGACTGTGTCCCGAAACCATATTGTCGCAAAGTGGTGTTCAACCACATTGGTTTATGACGTCACGCACATGGTGGAGTAATAACTTATTTTAATTAAACTGTTTGAGATCGAATTAATGCTAGATGTTTTGAAATAAATTACAGACATGGCATCTGAGGAATATTTCTAATTTCACTCAGTTATTTCGCTTTATTTCCAGATTTAATCATAGGCTCGTTCTTACATAGTAGAGCACGTTCGCACATGCGCACTCTTCAAAAACGGTGCTTTAAATATCTTGACAAGCTCAGATGTAAATGACATTTGTATGTATTCTAAATAAAATACACAGATTGTACTGAATGTCAGCTTGCTTATTTTGCTCAAGATACGGATTTATTAAGTCCACATGTCATGCAATTTAGAAACTATGCTTCTAGCCTGTTCCAACCAACCACACAACTTTGCGATGCTGTTTGCGAATGTTCGTTGGAACGATGGTTTCGGGAAACACCGACTCGTTGAACTATTCTGATAACGACGGAACTTGCGACCATAGTTGGCTAACGATGCTTTCGGGAAACGCACCCCAGGATGATTTCTGAAGGATCATGTGACTGAAGACTGGACAGAATTAATTATTTTTTTAATGTATATTAAAATGGAAAAATGATATATATATATATATGTATATATATATATGTATATGTGTATATAAGACCAAAAAACAAAGGTTGTGTTTGAGTGAAAACATGCATGTTACGTCTTGCAGGCCAATCTTGGTCTATCGTTTCATTATTGTGTCTGAGTGCTATCTGTACTTTCCATTTCAGACATCAGTTTTGTGTAAAGCAGCGGTGCATGCTGGGGTCATCATGGACCAGTTTGGAGGACCAATCACAGTGGAGGAGCGCCGAGGGCTCAGTCACTACCCTGCGGTCAGAGCCAACGGCGTCCAGTCAAAAGAGTGAGTTCCTGCAGTGGTTTCTGTTGTTTCTTAGGTTTTCTACAGGCTTTCCTGTAGCTCAAACAGTAGAGCGTTGGCGCTTGCAACGTCAAGGACATGGGTGCGATTCCCAGGGAAAGCAAGAACTGATAAGAATGTAAATGTGTACCTTGAAATGCAATGTAAGTCGCTTTGGATAAAAGCCTCTGCCAAATGCAGAAATGTAAATGTTCTTTATGACAGAAGCTTGAAGCCTAAGATTTGATCATGATTGCCTTTATATTCTTAGGTGGGTTAGACATCAGCTTGTGGGCTTTCCTTGTACATGAAAAGAAAAGAAAAAAAGTAGACATTTATGCATTTACTATGGACGTCATTGGGGCAAATACGCATCTGTTGCATAGATCATAGATCATCTATCTTAAGTGCATTTCTATCAACATGTTTGTTTGTTGTAAGTTTCCCAGGGAAAACGGTTAGATTACAGTTAGAAAAATTGAAATAGTCTGTCTTACAAATTCCCCTGACATGTCACAACATGTCTTATTCTGGTGCTTCAACTAACGGCTGTGGCTGAAAGTGACCTTGGTTTGTTCTCTAGCCGTGCAGCAGTTATTATTAAGTGGCGATTCCTGCCACCTTTAGCGTGATGGACGGTTTAGGTAGTACCTAATGTCAGGGACACTGTCTGGACTGCTGGTTTGTCACCAGGGAATTGGGGGCAGGTTGAGAAAGAAATCGAGATTGCCTCTCGTTATAGTCTCTGAGGAGTGTTTGAAGTGTCCATTGAGGAGTGATTTATTAAGAGGACAACGGGCAGCTCTCTAGAGCCAGAGATACTTCCTATGATCCATTTGAAACCTAAACACAACAAATCCACACTATAAAGATAGTAATTTTTTTTCTTTTTGTCTTTTCTTTTTTGAATGGTTTGGCACTTTTATAAATAGGAAAAGTAAATGGTGAAAATGGGAAATGATGAGCAGGAGAGGAAGAAAAGGGGGATCAGGAAATGATGCAGGTCAGACTCAAACTGGTGTCAGCCAAATTACCAGTACGGTTTAATATGTCCTGTGCTTGTTCTAGACCATGGCTCCCTAAAAGTAAGCTAAGGATGTATTTACACTGGCCAATTCCGATTTGTTGACTATATTCGATTTCTTTTTTTTTTTGACGACCAGCTTACATCTTCTTTTAAAAGAGACCCATATCCGATATCTGCATTTACACTATACACTTGGTGAAACATCCCAAGGTAGACATACTGGTCTGGAAAAGCTAAGGCCGAAAAGGAAGTCAAAACAGCGTGATTTGCAATGGGCGCAGATGAAATGATAGTACAAGCTTTTGCTTTACGCACCATCTATAAAGCTCAGCAAAACATTGAGTTGAGCCTTCGTCCTCCATTGAGCCATTGAAAAGAGTCATGTGATCGCGGTTGGTGTCCACCTGAGTTGATGTAATTCGCCACCGTATTACTATGAGAAATAGTAATAGTGTTGCTTTTACTAGCAAGCACTACAAAAAATAACTCATATGAAAGATGCAAATGAACCTGGTGAAGTTGCATCTTTGCCATTAGTTGCCATTAATTTCTCAAACCAATTGATTAGTGAAACTAAATCCATCATCTGCACTCTAAGACGATTATGTTGATGATGTAACAGTTTTCAGGGTCCGCTTTAACGTGCCTGAATAACGACCATCAATATCACTTCCTGTTATTACATTGCTAGGGTTTTGATCTCAGGCTTTCGTATGTTTTATTGCGTGCGCTTTTTAAACCGTTATTTCAATCTGCCGACTCTGATCAGCACTTGATTCATTTTGCCGTTGATTTTATTAGATTATATTTCTGTCACCAGCAGTTTATTGCTTGTATTTCCAGGCTTCAGACTTTTTGTTGTTGTTGTTGGCACAGCATCCACTATATATCCTATTTCAGTTCGTTCACGCTGTCGTAAACCGCTTTGTACCCTGAACTCTGAAACGGTTTGCTGAACTGCCATAAAAGTAATGAAAAAGTAATCACATCCAGGAAGCCTGTGAAAATGACGGGTTTCTAAGTAATGGCTGACAGAGATGCAATTTCCCAGCCTGTTCCCCTATAATTACCACCAAACTGCTCTTTTCACCGGCCCAGCTGTACCCCAGTTCTCCTGTCAGAGGGGGAGATGCGGGATCCAGTGAGGGAGATCCTCTGAAATTGGCAACACAACAGGGTTGACAATGGGAATCTCCCTCTTGGCCTCTGTAGGCGTTACTTTCACATGACAGGGTCTTAATTAATCTCTGTAATAATGATCTTTTGTGTCTAAAACGCTCAGTGCTCACTGATATCTTTGTTTTTCTATGTCTTTCAGTGGCTCGTTGTCTGAAACCCTCTTCACGTTTGTGACAAACGGTAAGCACTTTTGTTTTATGGTTCAGTGGTGATGTCCACATATTGGTGTGGGATTAATCCTATTATTTCCTGGACCGTGGTGACATTGATTGGTTTTCGCCACCTGCTGTTATTCCTGCTGCCGTTGTGTGTTACAGTTTTGTTTGACTGGTATATTTGCGCACCTCTGCAAAAAAGGAAGTAGCTTAATCACTATGTGGCAGTCTAACAGGTTTTTTTTTTTTTTTTACCAGTTCGGATATGTGAAGCCCTGTTTGCACTGTATCAGGGTGAATGGAAGGCGTGGGAATATCTTATCACCTGAGTTTGTTTTTCTCTGGCTGTTTGAGTCCGGCACAGACCGGTTGTCATTTACCTGTGCGGACGCGCTGATGAATCAAATTACAAAAACGTATGCATGTGCCAACACTTGCTCCAAATGTTCGTTTTCCATGATTGTGCGGAGTGTTGAATTGAGAATGGTTTGCAGGAGCAAATAAAAAATTCTGAATTTGATAAAATAGGATTTTTAAATAACTTTTTTGGTATTTAATTTATATTTATTTCATTATATTTAAAATTTATTTCCCTTTTTTTCCCCTTGCAAATAGAAGATCACTTAATTTCCCAGAATGCACTGATTTACTCAATATGGTAATGAATTTATAGATGATACATTTTTTTGTCAGTATTTTTTTTTTTTTATAAAGTTATGCAAAACAATTTAGTTAATTTTGACACTATTTAACTTGAAGGGTTAGTTCACCTAAAAAGGGTTACTCACCCTAATGTCGTTTCAAACGTGCAAGACATTCATTCATCTTTGGAACACAAATGAAGAAGTTTTAAATGAAATCTGAGAGCTTTCTGTCTTTTTCCTCCATTGACAGCCTACGCAACTACCACTTTCAAGCCCCAGAAAGGTTGTAAAGACATCATTAAAGTAAACCATGTGACTCCAGTGGTTTAACCTCAGTTTTATGAAGCGACGTAAATGCAAAAATTACAAACATAATTTACCACTTTATTTACAAAATATTAATCTCCAATGTGCGTTCATGAGACCACAGTGCATGCATGTTATGTTGGCTCAACAGCTGCGGTGGAAATTCATATTTTATAAATAGAGCGGTAAAAAAAAAAAGCACTTGCATCGCTTCATAAAACTGAGGTTAAACCACTGGAGTCACATGGTTTACTTTAATAATCTCTTTTCTACCTTTCTGGCTTGAAATCGGTAGTTGCGTAGGCTGTCAATGGAGGGACAGAAATCTCTCAGGTTTCATTAAAAAGATCTTCTTTTGTGTTCCAAAGATGAATGAAAATTTTACAGGTTTGGAACAACATGAGGAATGACAGACAGAATTTTCATTTTTGCGTGAATAAACCCTCTAATATGTTTTTTTTCTTTCTCAAAATACATTTATTCTTCAGGATTAGTTAAAAATAACAACTTGGACTAATGAAATTCCACTGTTGTGTGACTGTTGATTGTCTGCATTTCGGTCAATTCAAAATGATCTTCCTGTGGGAAGTAACTTTTTTTTTAATTCTATCTATTCTATCAATTAAAAGGGACCCTAAAATCTGTATTTTGTCCAACCCATTAACCTTCTCTCATTACTACATTGGGTGTACAAGAGTAGTCCGCTACATTATTTCGTACTGACAACCTGGATACATTGACTGGTTGGTTACTGTTTGCTTTAGTGATACACACACACTAGCTTTAGTCAGTTGTTCTTATAGATTTATGGAAGTACCTTTTCTGATCGATGTGACCCTAATCTCTTCTGGTCAGAAGTGGACCTGTGTTCAGTGTGCGTTGATGTATTGCAGGGGTTCCTGATGACAGGAGTTGATAGATGTGTGGACACCAGTTGATGCATATCAATTGATTCCCATTAATCCAATTATCTTAAAGCACAGCCGTGCACCCAGCAATGACTGCTACCCTACCCTCACTAACCCCCTAGCTTGATGCTAACACTCACAAAAAGTATGTGACAAGGGAGCTGAGGAATCAAGATGCAATTTTATGACGTTATACATCTTACTAAACACTCAAACGTGTGTACAGTGAAGTCCAGATACTATGTTGAAATTCTGAGATTGAAAATCCTGTTTAAACCTGGAAGTAAAAAGTTTTAGAATTTTGAACAAAGAAACATTGATATTAGGCCTATTATACAATATTTAAGTTTCCTTGCTATTTCTAGGTAATAATAATAAAATAATGAAAAACAGAAGCATTTTCTCTAGTGTTCATAGACTTTTGGATCCCACTGTACCAATGAGAATGCAGAAACTTCAATCGGAGGATCTTTTCCGACCTCCTGCTGGGATTCTTCTTGTCTTTTTCCTGAGTTTCCTCTGCCCACATATGCTAAATGTGTGGAATGTGATAGTGTTAGCCAAATCAGGGCTAAGCAACAGGATGTATTGGCCCTGTTTTTCTCTCTTTCAAAGGAAGTGGGAGCCTTCCCCCCTCTTTTATTGTAATATTGTTGTGTTCATAGCACATACGTCTCCATTTAACTGTACACATGGTGGGTATTTTAAGAGCTCAGGGCTTCCTGTTGAGTCAATGTACACGTAACGGAGTTTTTGCTCCACATGTGCGTTTTATTATGTCAAAAGAAAACGCTAGACACGACTATAAATAACATTACTCTTTTGATGTTTTTAATGTATTTTTGTTTGTTTGTTTGTTTTTGTAAGGTTTTTGTTTGGAATTCATTAATATGTTACCATCACAAAGATATCTGACACTTACAATACCATTCAAAAGTTTGGGGTTGGTATTTTTTTTTTCATGTTTTTGAAAGAAGTCTCTTAGGCTAACAATTTTTTTGATGCATTTATTTGAACAAAAATATGAATATATTCTGAGATATATATATATATATATATACACTCACCCGGCCACTTTATTAGGTACCCCATGCTAGTAACGGGTTGGACCCCCTTTTGCCTTCAGAACTGCCTCAATTCTTCGTGGCATAGATTCAACAAGGTGCTGGAAGCATTCCTCAGGGAGTTTGGTCCATATTGACATGATGGCATCACACAGTTGCCGCAGATTTGTCGGCTGCACATCCATGATGCGAATCTCCCGTTCCACCACATCCCAAAGATGCTCTATTGGGTTGAGATCTCGTGACTGTGGAGGCCATTTTAGTACAGTGAACTCATTGTCATGTTCAAGAAACCAATTTGAAATGATTAGAGCTTTGTGACATGGTGGAAGTAGCCATCAGAGGATGGGTACATGGTGGCCATAAAGGGATGGACATGGTCAGAAACAATGCTCAGGTAGGCCGTGGCATTTAAACGATGCCCAATTGGCACTAAGGGGCCTAAAGTGTGCCAGGAAAACATCCCCCACACCATTACACCACCACCACCAGCCTGCACAGTGGTAACAAGGCATGATGGTTCCATGTTTTCATTCTGTTTACGCCAAATTCTGACTCTAACATCTGAATGTCTCAACAGAAATTGAGACTCATCAGACCAGGCAACATTTTTCCAGTCTTCAACTGTTCAATTTTGGTGAGCTCTTGCAAATTGTAGCCTCTTTTTCCTATTTGTAGTGGAGATGAGTGGTACCCGGTGGAGTCTTCTGCTGTTGTAGCCCATCCGCCTCAAGGTTGTGCGTGTTGTGGCTTCACAAATGCTTTGCTGCATACCTCGGTTGTAACGAGTGGTTATTTCAGTCACTGTTGCCCTTCTATCAGCTCGAACCAGTCTGGCCATTCTCCTCTGACCTCTGGCATCAACAAGCAAAGCTGAATTTTCTGCATCATTACTCCAGTCTTCAGTGTCACATGATCCTTCAGAAATCATTCTAATACGCTGCTCAAGAAACATTTATTATTATTTTTATTATTATTATTATTATCATCAATGTTAAAAATGGTTGTGCTGTTCAATACTTTTTTCTGGAAACTGTAATGCATAATTTTTTCAGGAATCTTTAATGTATAACAGAATGTTCAAACAGCATTTATTTGAACAGCATTTCAAATAGAAAATGTTTGTAACATTATAAATGTCTTTTACTGTCACTTTTGATCAATTTAATGCATCCTTGATAAATACAGTTGTTAATTTCTTTCAAAAAAAATCTTATATACCCCAAACTAGTGTTAGAAAAATAGTGTAAATGCTTAATTTGAAATGTGCTCTTGACTACAGTGCTCTCTCTCCTACAGATTGCAGCCAGCAGACTGTTCTTCTTCATCCAGTGGGCTCTACTACAAGCTTGTCATCACACAACATCTCCTCCGATGGGTCTGAAGTGGACTGGTCCCCTAACAGTACCCAACGGGGTATCTCTGATGAACTCAACCATAACCATCCACAGTGGCTACAGATTGATCTGGGAGAAAAGAGGAGGATCACAGGTAATACTTGTAGCCTTCCTAACCTGATCTCATTTACTTATTTATGAGATTGTTCATCTATGGGTCACCTGACTGTGCCAGTGTCCTCTTTGACACCTCCTCAAAGTGCAGGTTTGGTTTTCTTGCATGATGGGAATCCAAATCCAATCCACATAGTTGAATAGGTTGTCTGTAATTCAGAGAGAAATGTAATGCTATAATTCTGAATTCACACCATGTCATAATTAATTACGAGATGACAACCCATGATGTTCTACAGTGGTCAGGTGGTACAAGTCTGGGCTCTCCAAAATTCAGAGTTGTGATTAACTTTGTCCTCGACAGCATTTACTAAAAAAGTTGCCTGCCAGTGTTTTTGATCAGTGACCAGTCAATATATCAAAAGAAAGATCAGAGCCTCTGCTTTAAAAAATAAAAATGTCTAAGCTTTATGCATTCCGGGTCCTTTATGCATAAATATTGGTATTGTATGATATGGAAAATAATTGTGATAATATTTTTGCCCATATCTCCCAGCCCTACCTAACACCTGAATGGTGGGGAAAGAGTTAAGAGTTAAGTGAGGATGTGAGCACTTTTTTAGTCAGAATCTCATAATTTCCATAATTACGACATGGCTTGAACACACCTTCAGATCCCAACACACACACAAACATTTCCGAAAGACCCAAGGTTTCCAGGGGGTGTTAAGTGGGGTAATTATCCACACAAAAGGTCTTTCTCGTGATCGGCTCTGGAGTGCTGAGGAGCATTACACCCCCCCCCCAAACAACTAACTGGGATCTGCATAACAGTTCCTGGTATTGCATAAAAGCAGAAAGGCCCTCTCTGTGTCCATTCATCACACATACAAACCCTCTTACAAAAGCACATTTAAATTTAGGAACACGCCGGACATGCGTTTATTTTGAGCATGACTGTTTGTAGACGGCACAACCGAGTTAATTTCATACAGCTCAAGGGGCAAAAGAATGCTCACTTTGTTTCCTGTAGGGAATCTGCGCTTTTGGACATGATGACCCTGAGTGAAACCGGCCCGTCTTAAAGAGGAAGCACTGTTATCATTGTGAGGCTAAATAAAACTAGGGAAAAAGCATGTCTTTATTTGTGAAGTCACCGCTCTGCATTCACACGATGCTTTCTAAGAAAGATTTTGTCAAGAACCATGAACAATTCATGTTTTATTTTCTCAAGAAAAATACATTAGTGTAGAGTATGGTGAATGAAAGCAACGAGCCACAGTTTTTACCACAGTTAAGGGGAGCTATTAGGACCACCCTTGAACATGGTAAAATTACTGTAATGTACAGTGCCATTCAAAAGTTTAGGGTTAGTATGATTTTTTTTTTCCTTTTGAAAGAAATGGTTACTAATTATTGCTCAGCAAGGATGTGACAGTAAAGACATTTAAAATGTTACAAAAGATTATCTATTTCAAATAAATGCTGTTATTTGAATCCTGAAAAAATTTATCATGGGTTCCAAAAAATATATTGATAATAATGAGAAATGTTTCACCAAATCAGCGTATTAGAATGATTTCTGAAGGATGATGTGACACTGAAGACTGGAGTAATGGTGCTGAAAATTCCGCTTTCCCATCACAGGAATAAATGACATTTTAAAGTATATTTAAAATCACAATATTATGTAACAATTTTACTGTATTTTTGATCAAATAAATAAATGCTTTGTGAGCATAAGGGATTTATTTTAAAAACATTAATCTTACCGACCCCAAACTTTGTGACCAGTAGTGTGTATTGTGTAGTGTGCAAGTTGGATATACTGTACGTATAATAGTTAGTAACTCGTCTTGCAGTGGTATTGAGGATTACTAAATCTGCAGGATTTTGGTGGTAATACTGGTATTCGGAATGGGATACACTGAAATTATCCCACTTCTGAACACATAACGCTTCAGTCATGCTATATTCCAGACAACTTGTAATTCTCCAAAACAACCAATGGAATGTTGCTTTAGTAGGTGCCATTTTAGAAATAACATCAATTGACACTTCTCACCAGCGTCGAATGTCTGATCTTGAGTGGTTATTGTTCAGAATTACAGGTCATCCAGTCAATAATTTAAAACCGCAATTATGCATTTAATACTCCACTTTAACTGCTTGTTTAGTTTTCAGTATTTTCATCTTTGACCTCAAGAAGGGGCATCACTGTCTTAAAAATGGTTCTTTCATTTTGTAGCTTTGATTCTTTAGTTTTGCTTCCTGACTTTCTTTATATAGTGGCGTCTCTTTGAACTCTTCAAGCTTTTCTCTGATGATGAGTAACTTCCTTTCTCAACTTTCATGTGTCATCACACTTCAATCTCACAGCTTCACACTTTGAATTGCTCTTATGATCACGGTGGTGTCCTCACGTCTGTGATGTAGTTAATGTTAGGAAGTAATAACAGAGCTCGGGGTCTTCAGTTGGTGTTTCTGTGTCTGCTGGGAACATGCCACTTGAGTGTTTCCCTCAGGAATGTGTTTTGTAGCCCGAAAGAGGCCGACCGCAGGTTTCCTGTGATGCAGATGACGGGCCGCACTCTGAAGTGAAGTCTTTAGCCTACATGGTGTCACATTCCTCAGCTGGCTGAGCGCGTGCATCACTGTATCAGGAGAATGACCTCTGGAGAAATGCTGTGTGACTAGACATTTAACTGAACAGTAGTTTTTTGTGCTTTTCAAATGAAATAATTCGGGGTCACTGTTTTTGTTTCATAGGCATTCTGACCACAGGCTTGACTATCGCAAACATCGAATATTTTGTGAAAAACTACAAGATCGAGTACAAGGAGAGGAACCGCTGGCGGACATTTGTCCAGTACAATAACTCTGATGATATGGTAAGACTTTGTCTTTATATCACTCCATCATCATACATTCAGTACAACGTAAATGGCATTTTAACTTGTGCTCTAAGGTACTTGGAAAGGAAATAGATTTATATATATATATATATAAAATTGCATAATGTGTATCCCTGTCCAAATGGCATCAAAAATATACCAAAACTTTATGAATTTTCTTTTGAATTAAGAGCACTAATGGATCTCACAATGAGACCAGAGACATTTATTAAGAGTCAATAATGTCAATTCAGATTTTTCTTTTAACTGTCTGTGTATTAGAGCTGCACAAATTATCGTTCAAAAGATCATGATTTCGATTCAAACATCCACGCAATTCATTCCTAGACGACAACGATTCGCCTGGGTCTATTAAAACTGACAAAATCACACCAGAACATTCAGATCTGCGTCTGCGCTGCCGCTGAGCCAGAGAGAGATGATGTCATGTATATGTATGAAACAACAGCTTTTCAACCACACAGTATAGTTATTTTTGTTACAAATATTCATATCACGGAAGAACCGGGATAAATGTTTATAGTTCAGATATAAACACGGTGTATGGAAGAGATCATGAGATCATAAGAGCAAATCACCTTTTGAAAGTAACATTGATGGCACTTGTTTGTATCGATTATATCGTTTTGCCACCAGGGGGCGACAAGTGACTGTTAAAAAGAATTCTCATTGAATCATTCATTAAAGAGATTCAAGAAACCCTGATTCATTTAGTAATGAAACAATGAAGTATTTATGAGTGAGTCATTGAATCATTCATTTATTCATTTTAAATAGACTGCAGCAATTAACATTTCTCCGAACCTCTAGTAAATTACATGTTAGTTGTCTGTTCAGAATTGTAAGAGAATCTTGATCTCTGTTTGAAACCAAAAAAACGTGATTCTTAATTTCTCCAGAATCGTGCAGTTCTACAGTGTGTATCATTCATGTTTTTAATGTTGCAGTGTTGTATTTTACCTTAGACTTTTGAAGGAAATACTGACAGCCTCCACCAAACACGCAACACCTTCCATCCCTCCATCGTAGCACGAAGCGTTCGTGTCGTACCTCAACAGTGGCACAGAATAATTGCCATGAGAGTGCAGCTACTGGGCTGTCCTTATGTTAAACCCATCCAAGGTGCGTGTCAGACACACAAAGGCTTTACAATTTCATTATTCATAATAAATGTTCATTAAACCTCAGTTTTTTCTCATGCAGTGAATTCATCGTCTCAGGTGACACAGGAGGCCCAGCCGACACAGCCCATTCACAATGACATGACCAAACCAGTGCCCTCTCAGGCTGATCTTGGTACGGTTTTAAGACTGCACACTAATCACTCATTAATTAATACAGATTATGTTACAGAAGTACTGGACAGATGTCTGAGAATGTGCAAATATTTCCTCCCTAACCTTATTCAAATTTCAACCAAAAGCTCTATTTTTTTCTCTCTCAGTGTATTGGTTGTCCTTATCTACCTCAGGGTTATTATCGTTAACTAAACCCGTAAACAAATCTTTTGATTACTTGAAATAAAATAAGCATTAACTGAAATAAAAAATATATATAACTTAATAAACGTATTTTATTTCAGCTCGATGTCGAGGCAACTTTTCTCATTTTTGTTTAGTTTAGTTTAAGTTAAACTACTAAAATAACAAACCAAAACTTAAAGAAAATCTAGACATAGTTTTGCAAAAGTACAATTACTAAAATAAATTCTTATTTAAAATATTAACAAAAACTATAATAGAATATCTTCATTTTTATATTTGTACTGTTTTGTTGTAGTACTACAACATTCTATTGTTTTGTTCTATTATATTTTATACAAAGGGTGATTTATTTTTTATTTTTTTCTCATCTCTAACTTGTACATCTCATATTTTCTTCTCTTTTTAGTTAATTTGGTTGTAATAATTGTGCCCACCATTCTTCTTGTGGTCCTGATCCTGGTGGGAATCTGCTTGGTTAAAATGCTGTACAAGTAAGTCAATTTTATAAAGTGTTTTTTTATTAGTTGCCATATTTGTTTATATTTTCTAGGGCTGCCCTCGACTAAAGATTTTTTTAGTCGTTCGTTTAAGCGATTAGTCGACTAATCACATGTAAATTAATAAGCCAAATCATAATAATGAGCCTTTAATTGCCTACATATCCTAATCAGCGCACATATAAAGCTTGCCACAGCGCACCGACAAAAGTCATTGTTAACATATAACATTGTCGTGAAAAAACAGCAGGGGGACTCTTAACAGTTTCATAATTTATTAATGAACTAGTGTTTTCTGTGTTTTGGGCTGCAGTGATGAAGTTGACGATGCTGACTCGTCATCTCCGCAGAATTGTGCATGCACCTATATGGCTTTTAAAGGCCTTACCTTTTAAGGCTTTCGGGATGTAAATGATCTCTGTTATGATCTACCTGCGTCAAGAAGTTTACAAAAACACTTGTGCACAGTAAGACCAGAAATGTGCATTAACAAAGTAAATGGTTCTTTAAAGTCAACCTGAAATCAAAACTGACCTAACGATGAAAGTTATGACTATTTTGTCGGTATTTTCCGTGTTGTGTCTGACTTGAGAGGGAGGTAGGGTCAGTCAGATATGTTAAGATTCATTGGAGCACAGCATGCTGATCTCAGTTCAGTTACCGTCTGTTACTAGTCCTGTTATCAAACACAACAGACAGTCTCAGCATTGCGTATGTACACACACCAGTGATTCCCAGCCTGCCCTAATAGATTCCACAGCCACTGGTGTCAATAAAACAGCGAGTGTAAGCTGATATGAGTGAGCATGTTGTGATTCCACAGCAACACATTGCAGTGATATTTAGATTTGTAAAGAATGGGGTGACTGAGGGTTGAGGGTCAAAGGTCAGTGTCAGGAGATGTGCCAGCTGCATTAGTCCCCTGAGAGAGAGCTCAGGGACAGGGGCATTGTGGGGAAATGAGGATGGATGAATGAAAAGCTCTTATGGACATGTTTCAAGGGAATAGTAAGGCATCTTCTCTTGTTTAAGAGTGATGAAGGTGGTGAGAGACCCTAGAATGTGCCACCTGTGTCTCTGACGCTGATGTTTTTCACTTTCCCACAGTAAGAAGACAAAGGAGAACACGTACGGCTCTGCAGAGACACATCATACAGGTAAAACATTCGCTTTAACTCAACTGGCTGGAACACTTCATCCATTAGAACATTTTAAACTGCTGTTTTCCATACAATTTTGTGCTTATCAAACAGTATGATAGCTTTGTATATCAAACTGACTTTGTTTGTTGTGATCATCTATGACTGAATAAGATTTGGAATAGAGCACATGGGCTGCTTTTATGGTGCTTTCGCTTTTGTAGCCACTGGTCTCCACCTATTTTTTAGTTGTATGAAAAAGAGCAGCTTAAAGCGTTTTCGTCAATCTCTCGTTTTGTGTTCCACCCAAGAAATAGTCGTACAGATTTATAACAGCAAATAGAGTAAATGATGTCAAAATATTAGTTGTTGGGTCAACTTTTCCTTTACCATTGGTTTCAGAATAACGTAAAATGCAGAAAATCATGCAATGCACACCTTTGCATTAATAAAACGTGACTGCACCACATATGGTAGACTGCACCGCCATTTTTTTTTTTTTTTTTTTTTTTAACCTTTATTGTTCTCCAAATCTTCAAAAAAAATTCTTAGTCATCATGACGGATCCCTTCCCAATATATATGTTGTGTTCTGCACTTTCAGACATGTATAATTTAAGGCTTAGCTGCTTGACTCGCACAGAGATAAACCCATCTTTCAGAGACCGGCTGACTGATAAATGATTCTTGTCTACAGGCTGTTGGAGACAGATAAAACAGCCGTTTGCCAGACACCAGTCCACAGAGTTCACCATCAAATACAGCTCTGAGAAAGACCCCATCCAGAAGCTGGACCTGGTAACCAGGGAAATGGCAGGTAAAGATTGACCGAATTTGATTAAGTTTCTTACATTAAGTTTGATTAAGTGTCCCATCCATTATCAAGCATGTTTTCTGTCCTCACTGATGATCGCACATGTGTTGAGGAAGCTGCTGGAAGACTGTTGCACATTAAAGAAATTCATACTTTTATTCATTCATTACATTGATCAAAAGTGACACTATTTTATCTTACAAAAGATTTTGATTTCAAATAAATGCTGTTCACTTTCTTTTTTATTCATTAAAGAATCCTGAAAAAAGTAATCAGTTACCACAAAAGTATTAAGCAGCACAACTGATTTCAACATTGATAATAATAATAATAATAAACGTTTCTTGAGCAGCAAATCAGCGTATTAGAATGATTTCTGAAGGATCATGTGACACTGAAGACGAGTAATGATACTGAAAATTCAGATTTGAATCACAGGAATAAATGACATTTTAACATATATTTTTTTGTTTTTTGTTTTGTTTTAAATTGTAATAATATTTCACAATATTACTGTTTCTAGTTTCTATAATATATTTTTGATCAAATAAATGCAGCCTTGGTGAGCATAAGAAACTCTGTTCAAAAACATAATAAAATATATATTTTTAATAGTATAAATGACTATAATAATCCAAAGCAACAAAACAGTTGAGCCGCTAGCATGCAACTGAAAATGTAGTTTAAGTTAGTTAAATGTTAAATACTCCCCAACAATGAAGCTACCAGACGGGACCGTAATAGAGAGCCCAATTGACCAACAAAATATCTCATAGCACAGTTTGCTTGTCATAGTCTGAGCAAAATTATTTTACATAAAAGAGATAGGATATAATGATTTGTTTTATTGCTTGTCATGCTCTGTTAGGACATTGTGTTCAATTGGAAATATGGACTCAAAGAGTGTTGAATTTATCTGGCCGCAGCTGAAGTCTGAGAGGAGACGGCACACTTTCTCAAGCTGAGTTTTTTATTGACTGATTATAAAGGAGTTCAACTTGTGAGGCCATTTTTCATCCTCCAATGTGCCAAGGGAGTAAAAAAAAAAACCCTTATTGAAATAGTTGTAACAGCCTGAACGCTTGCCAGATGGAAACGCTTGCTGATATTTAATTGTCAGTTTTCCCCCTACTCTCCTCCAAGGCTGTAATTATTGATGATTCAAGGTTTGTGCAAGACGTCAGACAGATTACAGGCGCTCCGATTTCAAGCCTGGCGCTTAACTTGGGAGTCCCTTTGAGCAAATACTGAAACGTTTCATTGATTTCCTTTTTGCTATAACATTTTCTTTCATGTTGATGCCATAAGAGTTTATGGTGCCATATTTATGATCATGGCTTATTGGTTAGCCAGGTATGTTTCAGGATAGCTAGACAATAAACCAAAGAACAGCAAAGCCTGGTTTATGCTGGCACGGAGCAAGTTTAAAGGGATAGTTGACTTTCTCACCCTCATATCGTTCCAAACCTGTATGACTTTCTTTCATCTGTGGAACTGTTTTCATCTATAAAATGGGGTCCAAAACAACATTGGACCCTACTGAGTTTCATTGTAAAGAGTATGGAACAATAAACAGTGTTATTTTAAACTGAAAACAATTTTTTACATTGATATTAATATGTTAGATTAGATTTTTTTTTTTTTTTTTTTTTTTTTTTTTAGTTTAATTTTGGTTTTAGTTATATTTTATGTCTATGTAGTTTTTATGTTTTCATTTTACTTAATTTAGCTTTAGTTATTTTAAACTTATTTTATTTCAGCTAGTGGCCCATGCAAAATTTCTCATTTTCTTATTTTAATGTTAATTTCAAATTCAAATAATGATTTTATATATATATATATATATATATATATATATATATATATATAGATTTAGTTATCAATTATAACACTGACTAAAACTACTACAAATTGTTTTCTGAATTTGAAATAAAGCTGAAATAAAATTAAATAAAAATATTAGATGAAAAACCTATGAAAATTAGAATTGTTGCCTTGGAAAATAGCTGAAATAAATGTTGAAGTTGAAAAAAAAACCTTAAAAACTAAACTTTCTAAAAACTAAAACAAAAACTGAAAATATAAAAATAAGAGCTAATTCAAAATTAAAATGAATACTAAAATAGTATATTAATAATACTCAAATAACATTGAGCATTTTTAGGGTAACTATTCCAGGACTAACACTTTCTCTCTTCTTTTTCTTTAGCCGAATACCAGCAGCCACTCATGCTTGGCACGGACACTGTGTCTCGAAAAGGCTCGACGTTTAGGCCCATGGACACCGAGGCCAAAGACAAGGACAGCGAGGCTACTTCTCACTACGACCAACTGCAGACGGGCATCCAGTACGCCTTGCCACTGACCAATCAGGAGCCAGAGTACGCCACGCCCATCATCGAGCGCCACGCCTTCCGCAAAGATCCCTTCCTTCCTGATCCCAGCTACAGCGTCCCAGGGGTGGTACTAAACAAAAGCCCGTCGTTTCGAGCAGTAGAGGGCGGTAATTGCAGGAAAGTGATCGGAGGACTGGCTGGGGGCTACCAGACTCCCCAAGTCAAGCTAGACCGGGGGAATTACCCAGAGGACATCTACGACAGCCCTAAAATCCAGAAGCCCGTCGTGAAGAACGGTAGTTGCTCGGCGTACCAAAGACCCCAGATTAAGTCCCCGGAGCAGGAGTGCTATTCCACTCCGAGAGACTGCGTCAGACTGCCCTTCTCTGGACTCAGACCCGACCCGGAGGGCAGCAGCTCAGAGGGAAGCTGAGAAGAACTATACTGTGATGTTCCTGATTTACCTGACTCAACAAAATCACCTCCAGACTCTTCTTAACTTATTTGTGTATGAGGGACTCCTTGTTTGTGTATTTCTGCAGTTGTAAAGGACAGCGGAGGCCGTGATCAGTTTGTGTAATTTAAAGGGTTTTTTTGTATATGCGAGATGCTTTGTCTTGACGAATCAAGATATTTTTTTGTTCCAGTTTTATTTTCAATCAAATGCAATATGCAGAGATTTTGCAGGGATAACTGCGACGATGCATTTGTTCCCTAGTCAGACACAAACTGTGAATGTAAACCAGATTTTCATGTTTTCTACTATGTGACCATTATCTAAATCTTCTTATGTTCTTTCTCTGAACATGGACAACTTCACAGATTTTCAGCCAGCTTTGTGTCGGTAATATATGTAAATGACCAATGTGTGCTCTTTCTCCATGTGTCCTGCACCATGAAATACCTGTTTATTTGTCAGCAAATTTAAGACTTTTGCCTTAATTCTGGACTTTTGGCGATCAAATGGGGGGGTCTGGGTGAAGGTAACATGGAGAAAGAGTATAAACTGTTCATTTACAGATACTGTACTAACAACATTGTAACAATACAAAGCTGTTTGACAATCGGCAGAGGTCTACAGATAGAAAATAAGATGTTATAGCAAGCAGATCAGAAGCTCTCCTGGTGCAAGTAGGAGATCTTTGGGAACTTCACAGTTACTTTGGTCCTTCTCATAAAAGATGACCTAGAGGCTTCATGTTCATGTCTGAACACCAATCAAAACACATGAAATAAGGTGAAAACACTATTTTTACCCAAAATAGTGGAAGCAAACTTTGTTTATGCCAAAAAAAAAATGGCTTGTTCCCATAATGCAAGTGAAATGATGATCTGAAAGCGATCTGATTTTGACATCCCACTCGTTTTTAATCTGTATTGGGTGTAAGGGTTGTTAGATTCAGCCATTTTGGACCGTTTTCAATCTCATTCTGCTGTGTGCATTAACAATGTTGAATCTCAGATGATCTGATCTTTTGTCCATGCTGAATATTGATGTTGATTTCGTGGTTTTGGATGCCTTTGTTCCATGTGCAAACTGAGCAATAACAGACTAAAATTTATTATCAAATCCTGTTTTTATTTGGATTGTCTATATGCATAATGTACAGTTTTGAAATGTATATTTAGTTAAAAAGCTAAATGAGATGTCACTTTGTGCTGTCAATGATTTAGTTCACCCAAAAATTGTTTATTCATTCTCATTCTCATTTTATTCCAAACCCATATGACTTTTTCTTCTGTGGAACACATGAGGAGAAATGATCAAGAATGCATTTCCAATCAAATTGAAGTGAGAGTCTCTCAAGCTCTCAAAAAACGTGGAAAACATTTTTTTTTTTTTAAGCTTCAACATTTCTCTTTTGTGTTCCACAGAAGAGATAAAGTCTGGTTTGGAGTAAATGATGATGGCATTTTCATTTTGAGTGAACTTTCCTTTTAAGCATCCAAAAGATCTGGGAGTTGCTGCTGTTTAGAGGACAATCCTTGTGAAAGATTACTGACAGGTCTTAATTTCTGTGAAATGCTCGATGGTTAATGTTTGATCTGGCCATGCTGGTGAGCTGAAGTGCTTTGCCACTGAGAATCTCAGTTCTGCGTTTGTGCTCGTCTAAACCCTGATTAAAAGCACCAGCATTTTAGTCTGTCCTGTGTTGGTCTTTTGCCTTAAAATATGTGATTGTCTTTTAAAAAATGGGAACAATCAGCACGATTATCTAAGTATTTGGTGAAAGCAGGATGTCTTACAAGAGGTGTCCCAGTGGGAGATTGATCAGGAATGTGACGGTGGGGTGTTAGTTATAGGGCAGCAGCTGATGGTGACCCTGCTGTTTAAATCTACCGTTCAGGCACACTGTATCACATTTCCCACCCAAAGTGTGTAACATTAGTGAATGGCTGGCCCGCCCTACTGGCACAGATGCACATGCAATCAAACAGGTAAAGAGAAGCACTTACCATAATTTTAATTGTTACAGGCTATAAAATGCTATTCATCTGCATGATTACTTGTTAGGCCTACCAAATATTAGAGCCATAAAGTAAAACGGCTTTGTGTTTTGTGTGTGTGTGTGAGGTCTTTGTGGGAAACCGAACTTTGTGTGGGCTGATAGTTCACGCCAGGGTGCGTGATCCGTTAACACCTGCGCGTAAAAAAACGAATCCTGCTAGGTTATGAATATGAATAAGGTCGATATCACGTTACTTTCATTACCTTGCCGAAGCGCCCTGTCATATGTTAATATTAATGAGCCGAGCCTTCGTTAAAAACATGAGCCATTGCGTTGAAAGTGAGAGTTGCGACAACCTTTGATCTCGTGGTCACGTGGTTTAATGGGTTTAAGCCATAGACTGTAAAAAAAAAAAAAAAAAATCATATGTAGGCCTATTTTTGTTGAGTATCATATTTGATACATCAGACTTTTATGGCTCATTTAGTAGCCTAGCCTATGATGTAGGAGAATATGGAGCTCAGCTCATTCTCGAGGAGGAAACTGCATAGGCCTATACATATAACAGTTGTCACTAAATTTTCCAATAATAGGGTAAAATTATAATTAAATGCTTAGTTTTATGAAAGCTCGGTAGTTTTTATTGCGGGCGGGCCTATGCAATGAAACAATGATTGAGAGATACTAATGACCATTCCTCAAAAGCCTGATGTATGATGAGCCTGATGTATGTTTGATGAAACGTGAAACTTTTTCATACATTTTAATATTATTTTCAAAAAAAAAAAATTAATAATCAAGTAAACCCAAGTTTGCAAAATATGATACAGTAGACTTTATGCTGTGAATTTGTTGTCAAGCCGTACTGCCCCCTCATGTTTAAATGAGGTACTGCAACTAATCTGTAATAATATAACGCCCTGTAATCAACACCTCAACAAAACAGTGCTCTGGGCAATTAATTTAAGTTTATTGAAACATTTCACGTAATATATTAACTACATGTGAAACATTTATTCCCAATCTCCTGTGTTTCCGAAACACATTTCCTATGACACTGGAAAAACAGTTAACAGAAAAATAAAAAATAAATCACAAACCAGAAAAAAAAAAGAAAAAAAAAGAATTGGCTAAAAAGAGGGAAAATGTTTCTTCAGGTCAGAGTTACATCTGTACTGTGCCATGCACTGGTAGTGTGGAAAGCATCATCTCCCAGATGAACTAATCAGTAACAAGAAAATGAAGGTAACATGAGTCCACTAAACCAGCCCACATACTGATAAGATTGTCCTGACTGCCCTCATCTGCATAACATCTAGAAACACCTGTGACCATTACAGTTGGGTGATTAATATCGGACTAAATGTGTGATATAAGCAAATACCTTATGAGTATTTCATATTTAACACTCAAGCTATCCTTTCTTGCTGAAAACCAGCCTTTAACCGTGTTAAAACATTTTCTCTTTCAGCAGAGTAAAACATGCGTTTAGGAATTGTTTTATTGCTATGTAGCCCATGTTTCAGTTAAATATATAGTAATCAGTGTGCAGACATTTAGACTGGAGCATTAGATGGCTGAAGCTGAGGATGCTATTGAGATGACAGTATAAGAGAAGAAAAGTGATATGTTAAATAACTCAATGATAGGAAAGCAACACTGATGATTATAGGCCCCTCTTCTAGTCATCTATACAGTAATGATTTGAGGCATTCTGAGACTGAATAGGGCTGAATAGTTGTTCTTGATTTCTGTACCCTTTTATGTTTTTGACAGGATATAAAGATTGCCTTGGATTAAATAACGCTATGCTACATTGCTGTGTAAAAATGCAAGTCCACTTCCCTAACCAGATAATATCAGTATCTTTTCTAAAGACACCGCCAATACAGTAGGTTCCAATGGCACTATCAGGACATTGTTCAGCAAAGACACTCAAAAATACTTCTGCAGATGTGTATATCTCATTAAAAAAAACAATCAAGAAAGGTCCAAGTCATATTTCACTCTAAAATAAAAAATAAAAATATAGGTCATTTTTTTAAATAAAGGAAAAGAGGTTTGATTTTAGGGCAATTCATTAATATTGTTATTATGAGAAATAAACACGTTCACCCTTTTCCCCCAATTGTCAGTAGTTCACAAATGTTTTCACATTACAAAAGTTACTCATATGCAAATATTTAAATATATATATATATATAAAAAATACTCAAGTATGTATATATTAGTGCTGTGAAAGGTATTAATTGTGATAAATCGCATGAAACAAAAGTTTGTAAATATCTGTATGCCTTTATACTGTATATATATATATATATTGAGAGAGAGAATTTAGGACCATTAATTATTATTGTTATTTTGCGTTGACATTATTTTTTAGCACATTATATATATATATGTGCTGTCAATATGCAGTGTATATATATATATAAAATGTATTACATCTATTTATATATATATATATATATAATACTTTATATAAACACATACTTTTATGTTAGATGTGATTAATCATGCTTAATCGATTTGATAGCACTAAATATATAAACAAATAATTTTATTTTTAATTGTAAAAACTGACCTTCTGAACTTAAACGTTGAGGGTAAAGTTTCCCTGAATTAAAAATTAGCATGTTACAGTGATGAGAATTTGGGGGAACTTTTCTATATATGGGGGATGGTAAAATATGAAAATATGACCTGGTTATCTCTTCTACGAAACTCATTCTAGATCAATTAAATGGCACATTTAAACTTGTCCACTGCTGTTCTTGAGCCGTTACGTGTGGAAAGCAAAGAAATGTAATCACACGTGGATGTGTACTGTCATTACGACATGCTGTGTTGTTTCTCTCCCATCCCCTACTGTCCACCCTGTGCGCAAAACAGGAAGTAACATCATCCTGTTCGCCTTTGATTTAGAGCAGGACCAGCTCACACTAGGTTAAAACAGAAAGGTTAAAAACAATGATGTTTTACATGAACGTACACTGAGCAAACAGTAACTCATTGCTATATCCACTACTTCAGTACGAGAGAAGAAACGTGAATCATTAAAGCAGAAGCTCTACATCTGAGCTCAGATTCAGCTCACCTATGCAGGGTCATTAAATGCACAGAGAGGTTGCACAAAAGAGGAAGTCAAGAATCGAAACTCTTATACCATATAATTCCATCCCATCGC